CTGGGGATTGAACCTAGGGCCTTGTGCATGCGAGGCAAGCACTCTACCAACTGAACTGTATTGCTAGCCCCTCTCTCTATATTCCTATATATATATATATATATATATTTTTTTTTTTTTTTTCTATGTATGTGTAGTACTGGGGATTGAGCCCAGGCTCTCCTGCCCTCCTGTATGCTAGGCAAGCACTCTGCTATTGAACTATATCCCTACCCATTTTTATTTCTTTGTGAGTGCACTCTTTTTAAATTTTTTTCTTTTTAGTTATATTTGACAGCAGACTATATTTTGACATTATACATGTATGGAATATAACTTCCCATTCTTGTGGTTGTACATGATGTGTGGTTTCACTGGTCGTGTATTCATGTGTGAACATAGGAAAGTTATGTCTGATTCATTCTTTTGTCTTTCTTATTCCCATCTCCCCTCCCTTCCCTTCATTCCCCTTTGTCTAATCTAATGCCCAGCCCTTTGTATTTTTTATTTTAAGATACAGTCCCAGTAAGTTGCCAAAGCTGGCCTTGAATTTGCCATCCTCCTGCCTTAGCTTTCTGAGTAACTGGGATTTTAAGAGTGAGTGCCACCATGCCTGGCTGAAAATAAGATCTTAAACTTGGTAAATTTTTTTTTTCTCTTGCTATGTGTTCCCATAAACTGAACACTATTCAACCAGATTGTTTTAGTCTTCACAAATTATAGGGTTATAGGGAATGAACACGTTTAACTTGATTTTAGTTATAGTAGGTTTTAAAGTGGGAAAACCTTCTATAAAACAACACAATGAATTTTGAAAGTAATTAACATGCAGGTCACAATGGTAACCACCAAGAGGTGGGGATTTTTGTGACTGAGAAGGGACATATTAGGGTACTAAGTACTATAACAGTGTCCCATGTTATGATTTGGGTAATAGTTACATGGTAATTTGCTTTGTAATTAAAGAGGCGGGGGTGTAGTTCAGTGGTAGAGCACTTGCCTAGCATGGTAAGGCCTTGGATTCAATCCTCAGCATTGTCAGAAACATAATAAAACCGAAATTTATTTGTACTTTTTTTTTTTTTTTTTTTGAGGGAACTACTGGGAATTGAACTCAGAGGCACTCATCCATTGAACCACATCCCTAGCCCTATTTTGTTTAGAGACAGGGTCTTACTGAGTTGCTAAGTGCCTTGCTTTTGTCGAGTCTGTCTTTGAACTCCTGATCCTCCTGCCTCGGCCTCCGAGCTGCTGGGATTACAGGCATGCACACCCAGGCCTAGCTGTACTTATTATTCTGAATTCTTTGGGTTTTATACTTTATTATATGTGATTATATGTCACCAAAGATTTTTTAAAAATTCATCTAGTATTCCTTGTTTCCAAAACCTATACCTTACAAAAACGACCAAATAATAGAAATATTGCTCTGCTGCTGCCCATTGTCCTTCTGCTAACCTTTTCCTTGTGTCCTTACCTTGATTAGGAGTTATTGTGCAAAATCTTAAAGAGATTTTTAAGAATCTGTAGACTTGCATGTGCCAGAAGCAGACCAGCATTTACTTAGTGCCCCAAAGGCCATGAACTTTAATATATGTTTGTATAAATTTATTTTCACCTGTGGAGTTGCATATGCAGTGAGTATCAATGGTATCATTTTACAAATCTGTTGTTGAAAGCTTATAAGCAGGAGATGATTTTCTTTGGTCACACAGCTGGTGACGTCTAGGCTAGGGTTTCCATACACATCTTTTCTGACCTCAGAGACCTGTTCTTACAGCAGGACTCCACCGTGTCCCTAAATGCCACCTGTTTAGGAGGGCTCTAGAAGCAGATTGAAGTGAATTTCAAAATTTGGAGATCTGTCTGCAAGCTGTCACCTCTTTAATTCTTGTTCTCACAACTAAAACCACTAGGTTGAGTGTTAGAGTCTGTAAACAAGTCTGGATGGCGCCTGGCATTTTGCCAGAGGGAGTGATTTGTTAAGTAATGCCAGCGAGCCATTAAGTGTGGAGATTTCTTATTGGTTGACTGCTGTATCAAGTTTATGTTAATTAAGATAAGCTGTGTGGAATGTATAAATACCGCTCCTGCCCTACAATAAACGGCTTCTACCCCTGCTGTATCAACGTACAAAACTTTCTCGTCACCCCCCGGTTATTTTGCTGCAGCCGGACTGCAGCAGTTGAGGCCTTTGTTTAGCAGTTACAGAGATTACTTTGGTGTCTGTGGTATAGCCTTGGAGCCAAAACTTTTTTGAGACCGTTGAGCCTATCATAGTCTAAAACCCCTCTGAAGCTACCTCACAAGTATAATTTTGGGAACTGACCCCATAGCTTGATCATGTGTCTATATAAACAAATGATTGAGGAGTTCGATGTCCTCATAGGACTCCTGAGGGAGGAAACAAGATGGCAAAGATGCTGGCAATCTCCCCTGATTTGAATCGTGCCCACTGCACAGGCACACACACAGATGAGGAGTAGGATGGATCTTCATGGAATAGGCAGCACATACACATGTCCATCTTGGGGTCAAGTAGAACACTGACATTAAATTAAGCTTAAAGTAGTATTTCTTAATACCAACTGTCCTAATGGCCGAAAAACTGAAGAATGCAAAATGCATTCCATAGAATATGTTAAGAACAAAAAGTATTGTGAGATTGACTATATTTGGCTTAAACCTTGGATTATATAAGGATGAAGTAGATTTCTATAGCAAGACCATTTTTTTAGTCTTTGAACAATAAACATTGTCACTCTCAAAAGCAAGTATAAAATGGTAAGTAGCATTTTTTTCCAACCTGACTCTGATAAGTTTTCACTTGGTGTCCAGGAATGGGATTCTGTGAAGCTCATGTAGGACATATTAAACTAGAGACTGTCTGGATGACAGAACTCTCAAATTATGTCTGAGGTGTTCAGAATTTTCTATTCAGTAGAGATGGGGTAACCCAAAAGAGCAGTAGTAATCAATGTTACTAAAAAAATGAGGGAATGAAAACTGTATTGGCTTAATTTACAAAGGTAGACTTGAGATGAGTGCTTCGGTTTTTAGGTAATGCTCTTTAAAAATGGGTCAATTTTAAGAAGTGTTGGCAGCAGAATCACTCCTTATCCTTGCACTTTTCACAGGGAAGTGAGCCTCTTGAGCCCTCATACATAGTGGGGCATGTGGCCTCAGCACCCAAAGAACAAAACCTGACTACTTTATTCAATGACGGGGAGAACAGTCAGGTATGCTTTCCACATGGCCAAGTCAAGACACCTAGTCCACGGTCCACTTCGTCATCCAAAAACTAGTATCAATTGGAATTGATAGGGAAAAAAATCCACTTGATCCTGAGAATTCCTAGTACACATCTCTCTGATCTTATATCTCTGGGAACTTACTCTGTCTTCTTTTTTCTTTTTTCTGGTCTTTCTGTGGATCATGGGGGATACTGTGGATCTTCTGTTTATTATAATCTCTCCATTTTAAAATCAAAGGGTCTTAAAAATGATTTTGTTCGGAATATCCTGTGGACATTTGAAGACATCCACATGTTGGTGGGATCCAACATGCCCATCTTTGGTGGAGGCAGGTATCCAGCGGTCAGCTTACGTCTCAGGTAAACGGCACCATGCCCCTCTTGTGCTTATATTTTTTAAATGCTTCCTTTAGATTTAGTGTTCCATTTGCTTTTCCTTATCTGTCTGGGTAGCCTCTTTTTTTCCCTAGATTTTCTCACCTCCCTTGTTCCCATGCCATTTGAAATGGTAAATGCTGAAAGCCCCATAGCTAAGCCCTCATTCTAGACCTAATTGGATAGAGCCAGAGGGCTGTTGTACTGGCCTATTGTTATGTGTCAATCTGCAACCTGTGAGAATACAAGAAAATTTATTGGTTAAGGAGATATTTTGCTAACTTCCTGTTAAATAATTGTGAGCATTCTTCTTAATGCTTCATGAGTATTCATATTAGTGTGAATTCTTGCTTGGGCATTATTGTCTGTGCTCAATCTTGCCTTAGATTGTGTAAGGAACAGTATGTTCAGTCATCTTTCTGTTCTTACTGAAAACTTAGTGCCAATTAGAAATAGGAAACAGCTTTTGGAAAGATGTGAAAATATAACACCATGGAGCTATGTGCCTGTGTCTCATCAAACAAAGCATTTATGGCATTTTCATCTAGGGAGCATAGAGTAAAATACTTACATGGGGAAATAAGTCACAGGTGACTCATGGAACATCTCAATGAAAACAAATAACACTAGAAATGTATATTTTTAGGGATAACAACAAACCAATCAATGTGCTAACTGGAATTGACTATTGGTTGGACAACTTGATATGCAATGTACCAGAGCTTGTGATGTGTTTTCATGTAAATGGAATTGTACAGGTAAGATACACTGTGACTTTTTAAATAATCTCTCAAAAGCAAATTGATTGGTGCAGAGAGTACCTCACCAGAGTTTTTAAGGCTTGTAAATACTAAGGTGTATTTTGGTATGGAATATAGGTGTGAATTAACTGAAACTTTAGTGTTTTCACTTTTAAGTTTGTAAGTATACTTAAGCATGGGTTTGTAACCATAGAATTCTTAAGTGCCAAGTTCATGATGGCAAACCGAAAATGCCAGAGCAGTGGATGTGTTCATCCTTGCACAAATGTCTGCTTGGTGTATGCAAAATTCTAGGAGCAGACTAGAGTGAGAATTGCCTAAGGTAGATAGGTAGCCTATGTAACAAATTCTTACTGAGCACTTTATATTTAGGGAAATTTTAATCCCCATTACAAGTGCTGGAGGGAAACAGAGTATGTTTGATCACAACTTACCTATGTTCTGATGGGAAGTAATGATGTGCAGAGAAAACAGTATGAGACAGGAAGCGAGTACTGTAAGTGTATCAGTACACACCAGGTCTGGGTAGTCAGAAGGGCGAGATCACTCTGGGTCTGGAAGAAAGGCTTCATGCAAAAAGTGGCTTATTAACTGGGTCTCAAAAGATAGCTAGTGTCTCAAAAAGTAAGAACTTGGATTTGAGAAGAAGTTGAGTAGGTAAATGAGAGGATTGGTAATAAATCCAATTAGGGAACAACAGGATTCAGGTAACAGTTGAAAAAGTCTTGGCCAGGTAATGGGGAACCTGGAATGCGGTGCTGAGGAGTTGGTCATGTGGGATCAGTGAAGGCTTTGCCTCTGGGAGGTGAGATTTGTTGTGCTGGAATGTTAATCTGGGATACTATGGAACAGGCAGGGAGGACTTGGGGACAAGAAGATGACCAGCTATGGCATTTCTTTAATAAATGGCATAACATTGTGCTGCAGAGGAAGTACTGAGACTCAGCATGGTGGTGATGGCATTTGTTCCTTGCCAGTCCCTTTGTTAAGGGCATCACCTTTTTGATCTTCTCAGCTGTCTCATGTACTTTTATTCCCTTTTGGTGGGGAGGGAAATTGAGGATCAGGAGCTCAAGTGAGTTGCCCAAGATCATGTTGCTAGTAAGTAGTGGTTCTGATGTTTGAGCCTGTATCTGCCAAGATTATTTTTTTTTTTCTTTTTTCCTTTGTTTTTGTTTTTTGTTCTTGTTTTTGGTATTGGGAATGAACCCACAGTGCTTTAACATTGAGCTACATCATCCCGGCACTTTATATTTTTTGAGACAGGGTCTTACTCAGTTGTTGAGATTGGCCCTCTGCCTACTTCAGCCTCCCAAGTCCCTGAGATTATAGGTATGCACCACCACACCCAGCCAGAAGCCTTCCTTTTAACCTTTATAACCTTTTTTCACCTGGGCTTCATCAGAATCACTTGGCCCCCCGGTGTGCCAGGCTTGGTAGGATTGTGCATTATTTTTTTCCCCCAGTAAGTTTTATAGGTGATTGATTTGCAGCCTTGATTGAGAACCTCTGTCATACCATAACCTTAAGTGGCAACATTAGTGAGAAGCTTGTGGTGAGGCAGGGGAAAGGGGAGAGGTAGGTACAGCATTAGTGAGACAGAAGGGAGGAAGAGACCATGGAAACCCAGGGCCCTGGGACAAGGATGATGATGGTGTCTCTTGCTAAGAAAGAGGCAGTGGGCTGGTATAGTCTGGGAAAGTGATGTGTTTTTAACACACATTCAGCTTGAGGAAATTTGAGAGGTCCAGTGAGCATTCTGCAGTTACAACCTTCAGAGAAGATAGGCCTAGAGGATAAATTGAAGCATCCCCTGGGTACAGTTGGGTTCATCACCATTGAATCTCTCAAAATCATGCATCAGAGACTTACCCCATGTAAGTGAAGGGGAGTGGACGTTTGAGAGGGGAACCAGAGTGGTGTAGTATGAACTCTGGGGGGAAGGGAATAACAACCTTGGGGCCTTTAGATGATCTCAGGAGGATGAAAATCAACCTTAGGCAATCTTATCTGGTGTCCCAATCCAGTTTCTTTAGGGCTTCTGGTTTTACGGTATTTCAGGAAATGTGGTAAGATGTGTTTAGGGAAATCTGCACAGAAGACACCCTGGAAAGAAATATGGAGGCACTTTAAAGATAGTAGTAGTACCAGCCATGCAGCCTTCATTCCTGTTGCCCCCTCCATCTCTGTGCTCTATCCCTCCAAAGGACGAGTCTCTAACTCAAGGGAAGAGAAATATCTACAAGGAAAACATCTCAAGTAATGCTCTTCCTTTGAGCCATTCACTCTGGTGTGTGTGTAGATAGGTAGAGGAGGCCAGAAATATAATGTTTTTAAAATGCTTGTAGGGTAAAGTCTACCTTCATTTACCACCTTCCCTGTTTAAACCAGCAAAGGCCTGGGGTTGTGGCTTAGCAGTAGAGTGCTCACCTAGTATGTGTGAAGGACAACCAGCAGAATGAGAAAGGAAGTGTTCAGTACTGTGCAGTTAGAATAGAAGCAGTGCTAAACCTGAAGCTCTAGACCTGGTGTGACCCCTCTCCAGAGTGTCTTTAGTGGTAGGCCACCATCAGTGCTGGGCCTGGATCCTGGGGATTTTGGAGCAGGAAAAGATAGAAAATCACTGGCTTAGGGCTGGGGATGTGGCTCAAGCAGTAGCGCGCTCGCCTGGCATGCACTGGGCGCTGGGTTCGATCCTCAGCACCACATAAAAATGAAATAAAGATCTTGTGTCCACTGAAAACTAAAAAATAAATATTAAAAAAAAAAAAAAGAAAATCACTAGCTTACACTCTTTAATGCTGCATGGGTCTCTGTTTGCAGATTTTTGTTTGGTTGCTTTGTAAGAAGAAAGATGTTGCTGCCTCAGGTTCTCTCTTAAACAATCTCCCATCTGTGTTTTACAGAAGTATGAAATGATAAAGACAGAAGAGATTCCCAATTTGGAAAACTCTAATTTTTCTACTAAGGTCATAAAGGACATTGCACAGAATATTTTGTCATTTCTGAAATCCAATTGTACCAAAGAAGGACATACCTATTGGCTCTTTAAAGGTAAGCTATTTCTTGGAAACTTGGAATGGAATCACCATTTGACCCAGCTATCCACTCCTCGGCCTATACCCAAAGGACTTAAAATCAACATAATACAGTGACACAGCCACATCAGTGTTCTAAGCAGCTCAATTTACAATAGCTGAACTGTGGAACCAACCTAGATGACCTTCAGTAGATGAACGGATAAAGAAACTGGTATATTTACACAATGGAATATTACTCAGCATTAAAAGAGAATAAAATTATGGCATTTGCAGGTAAATGGATGGAGTTGGAGAATATCATGCTAAGCAAAGTAAGCCAATCCCAAAAAACCAAAGACCGAATGTTTTCTCTGATAAGTGGATGCTGATCCAAAATGGTGGGAATGGCAGGGGATGGCATGGGAAAAATGGAGCAACTTTGATTGGGCAAAGGGGAAGAAGGGAAGGGGAGGGGTATGGGCAGGAAAGACGTGGAATGTGATGGACCTTATTACCCTAGGTACGTGTATGGCTATACATATGGTGAGGCACTACATTATGTACAGAGAAATGAAAAGTGCTGCAGTTGTGTACAATGAATCAAAATGCATTCTGCTGTCATTTATACCTAGTTAAAATAAATAAATAAATCTTTTTTAAAAAAAGAAAAAAAGGTAAGCTAGTTTTTGAATGGACAATGATTAGTTTGTGTGACTGCTATAAAATGAGGTTTGTTTTTCTTTTTAGCCAGTGGCAGCGATATAGTGAAGCTCTATGATCTCACTACTCTTTGTGAAGAAACAGAAGACAAATACCAGAATCCATTCACAATGCCAGTAGCCATTCTCTTATATAAGTGAGTGCTTTAAAAATTTAAGTTGAAGTAGCCTTATGTAAAAGTGTAGTATGCAGCCACACTCTTCAAGCCAAGCCTTTAAAATACCTCTTCAGGTTTTCAGAGTGGGATAAATGCTTACATACACATGTGTATATACATGAATATATATGTGAGTATATAGGAGAGACAGGCACACAGTCACACATATAAACACATTGTACCAAATATCATTCAACTTTCTTATGAAAGCATAGTATAAACCTTTGGGGGTAGGTGGACAAAGTGCAATCTTTAGTTGTTTCTTATAGCCCTTATTTCTGTTGGGAAGATGCAAGAGTGTGCCTAGACTTGAGCGCTGCAGAGAAGGATGAGGGGGAGTAAAGTGATCTAAACATCTCTTTCAGGGTTGCTTGTAACATGATGATGAAGAAGAATCAAAATAAAAAACACTATGGGACTATTAGAACATTGCTTCTTAATTGTGTCAAATTGCTGGACAAAAGCAGACATCCTCAAGTAAGATCACATTCATATGCTTTCTGACAGAGTGCTAACAATCTGATGAAGAACTGCTGCCTGGGCAGTGAAGGCCTCTTAGCCAGACCCTAGCCCGCCCCTCCCTTCATGGGTGCCTGCAGCCTGTGGCTGTGGAGCACTTAAATGTGCCTAATCCGAATTGAGATGTGCTGTCACTGAATTTTAGAGTGTGTATGTAAATGCACACTGAGTTTAAGTATAGCAGTATCCAGTTTGTAAATAGATTATCCTGAAGACCAAACTTAGAAATAGTTTGTTGAATAAAAAAAAGTTGTGTGTGTGTTTTTGTTGTTGTTGTTGTTTTTAATGTTGGGGGCAGGATCTCACTAAGTTGCCCAGGCTGGCCTTGAACTCCCCTTCCTCCACCTCCTGAGTAGCTGGGATTACAGACACAAAACAATTACTGACTTAAGTATCTAATTGCTGTTTGAAGTTTTGGTATTTAGTGGTACTTGAGTGATTTATGCAAAAGTTAAAAAGTGATGTTCAGATTATTAAGTGTCTATAATAAAGAATTAGTTAATAATAGTGAGATAAATGGTAATATGTAGTGCTGATTTTAATAGCAATCAGGGAAGGACTTTTCCTTTTTTAATCTAGTGAGGTTTTTTTTTGCCTTTAGAGCTATAGGTCATATTGTAACTATTGCCATTTAAAGGTAAGCTATAGTCGTTTATAAAGGAAAATTCTCATTTCTCACTTGGTTTGGGTAGGATTTGCTAACATTTTAGTTAATACTTAAAAGCTTTTGCTTGTCCCTGTGAAGGCTCAGGGTGGAATAATTTCCAGAAATGAAACTCAACCATAAGGATCTCACAGAGCACACTCAAGACTAGCTTTGGGAACATTTCTGTGTGTGTGACAGTCTGTGTGGCCAAAACAGACTAACTGCCGACACCCTTCCAAAACTTGTGCATGTGGTAGTAAAACTGCTTTATCTTTAGATGATGAGACAATTTTGGTGATAGTTACTTACACACATTTGTTTTTCTTTATGTAAGATTATTGCTTCAGCCAATTACATGCTTTCAGAACTTTTTCAATTGGATGAACCTAAAAAGGAAGAAAATTCTGAATCTCCTTTACATGAGAATTCGGATGAAAGTTACAGTGAAGAGGAGGAGGAGATGCCTGACAGTGATGAAAATGGATCCTATAGCACCAGCTCTGACCCGTCAGACGACAACAAAGCAGTAGCTATCATTAAGTCTGTTGGGGAATTGTCAGTACCAGAAAAATACAAGTCCATCCACCAAATCAGGGTGAGCACACAGGATTTATATTAAAAACAAATAGGTGTTAGTTGAATGCAATTAGTCTCAAAGATGCTAATTGATATTTAGCAAATCTTCTGTGGTCCGGGGTCTAGTAATTCTTAGCTTTCTGAATTCTGAACCTTGGTTTTAGAACCCCACAGTTGAATAGTCTTGTCCTGGGGTGACTGACCTACATTGTCCAAGGCTGGTGGCCCAAGTACACCAGACAGCCACATGTTGATTTTTATGTGGGAGATTTTTCTCTCCAGTGGCCAGTGTGTATTTGTAGCCATGTTTCCTCATCAGGGTGTGTCTGTCCAAGTTTTGAGTTGCTAGGAAATAGCATATGTGGGTTGCTTGGTGAACAAAAGTGGGGGGTTGATCCATATGTAGCGCTATCTAGTACGTTGTCCTTGTGCTGTAAGTAGGACAATACTTTTCTGTGACCTGGGGCATGTTTCTGCCCTGGTTAGGGCGGATGTCCCTAACACTGCACACCCTTTCGGTTTTCCGTGGCATGGGCTACACTGGCTGCTGTATCAGTCTGTCGCCACAATGTACTTTCCTGTGTGCTGCCTCCCTATGATTAGATCCAGTCAGCCTTGGGAGAGTTCTGTCTGTTCCACGAACTGAGATAGTCATATTTACAGATAATCTCTGAATTCAAGTTCCAAGTCTAACATTCAGTTGGAAACTTTATATCCAACCAGGTTTTGTGAGGCCATCTCTCTGTTGTTTTAAAAGATTGCCTGTGTCTCTGCCCTTCTCTCCCTTCACTTTCCCCTTTCTTTTACCACAGCCATCCTGGTTTTTTTTTTTTTTTTTTTTTTTTTTTTTTTTTTTCTCAGAAGCATGGAGATTGTCTGCGGGCCTTTGCCTTTATTGCTGTGCACCTCTGATCAGACACCCCTTTCCCTAGATCTTTTTCATGGCTGCCTTTGTGACTGAAACGTCACCTCCTAGAGATCTTCCCTGACCATTCTAGCCACAGCATCCTATGTCGGCTCCTTCAGGGAGCTTCTCTACCTATTTTTGGTATGTGCTGTCTCCCATCTCTGAATCATAAGCCTATTGCAGGTAGATCGTCCTCAGCCTCCCATGTCTGGGACACACTGGGTGCTCAGGAAACATTTGACTACATGACTGTAGAGAAGCATCATTAACTCTTCATCTAAGATTTTAGTTCACTTTCAGCCTGAGCCCCACAGTGGAGTAAAAAATGTTTTTTCTGGTTAAGTCTTCTATTGTAAAAGTTATGTGTATTTGGGAAGCTGCATTGTAACATAAGGCCCTGGACTTGTGGGGCAATTAGATAATTAAAGGTGCAGCAGTATGTTAGCGTCCCTCTTTTGTAGAGACAGCACTTTTTATGAGTGTTAGACATTCAAAAATGAAGTCATAGTAGTCATGAAAACATGCTATAGCTAGTTTTAGCTGTGTTTGATTTGAAAAATGGGCAATCAGTGTGGATTCCAGAGTCCCTGCTTCTCCACTCACTCGATTCGTCCTCATATTCCTCTGCCATCTTGTGGGCATCTATGAGAAATCTAGTAGGAGTTACTAGTAACTCCAGCCTCCTAGGATTCAGGAAAATGAAATACTTCTAGAGGCCTGTACACATACTGTTACTTAGTGGGTAGATGTTGGTAACTAGTTTTGCTCCTTAATTAAGCAGATAAATTATATAGTGAGCCCTTGGGTGATGAGTGATTCTTGTTGACCTTTTGCTAAATTAATGATATTGTTAACTATGCTACCAAGAATCAATGCTAATTAAGAGTTGAGTTAATCTATTGGATTTAGTATGCATTTTATCTAAAACATTACAACTCTCATTCTTGCTTTTTTGTTATAATAGAATTATTTTTAGAAATTTAAGTACTTAAAGCAGTACATACACTGGAAGATCTTTTTGTTAAGCTAGATTTGTTGATATGCTTACAGTAATTTAATCTGCAAACAAAAACATTGCAGAAACTTTTGTATCAGAAACCTTACCAAGTTGAATACAAAAGCATATTTCTAAATTATTGGTTTGTAGAATTTTAGAAATTTCCAGAAGTGAGTCAGGAAATGTGTTGTAGCATGTTAATAACTTCAGCTGTTTTTTTCTAAAGCCCAGTTGTGCATTTCCAGTTTGCCATGATACAGAAGAGCGCTGCAGACTAGTACTTAGCTATGTTCTGGAGGTAAGTCTAAATTTAGATTTTGTTTTTTCAGTAAAGTTTGTGGTTGATATGCAAATAGCACTTGTTCATTGGTGACTAAATGTTATTCTGAATGGTGGTCTGCTGAGATTTTTTTTTTTTTTTTAAGCCCAAAGTGAAAAGCAAATCAATGGTTCCCAAATCTTTCAGATCAAACAGTTTTTCGAAGTCTGTTTCTAAAATAGAAATTCTGCCTTATTCTTAGTAAAGTATATAATAAATGTTTTTCCTTTTTTTAAAGGGTTTAAAATCTGTAGATAGCAGCATCAAAAAAGAAAGTGACCTTCCAGCCGCCGACCCCAGCACCCCAATCCCCTTAAAATATGAAGATGAATCTGCAAGGGGGGGTCCTGAGGGGCTAGAGAAGCAGATGGCCTTGTTTTTGGACAAAAGTAAGTTGAATTGATGTGCAAATAAGGCCCTCAATAGAATAATATACTGGTCCTTTATGTCAATGAAGGCATTCCATTGAAAGGAATTGAGAAAAAGGATGTCATGTGAATGAGAAATAGGGTGACATAGCTTTTCATTCAAAATATAAAACAAAGCAGAGTAATTTTGATCTTCCATACTATTTTTTTTTTTAATTTTTAGTTGTAGGTGGACATGATACCTTTCTTTTATTTAATTTATTTTTCTGTGGTGCTGAGGATCAAATCCAGTGTTCCACGTGTGCGAGGCAAGTGCTCCACCACCAAGCTACAATTCCAGCCCCCATAAATATTCTAATAAGAGCATAAGGACCCTGGTTCCCCCTTGCCTGCTGTGAGGAGGTTGATTTCAGACTGTAGACATAAACCACACCAAATACACTCATTGTGAATACATTTTATTTTTCTATTTTAAAAAAAAGAATATATTCTTCCAAAAAAAAAAGAAAGAAAATGGGAATTCTGAGGGCTGGGGGAAAGGCGTGTGTTTGGGGGGCTGGGGTTGTAGCTCAATGGTGGAGCATTTGTCTAGCATGTTCTCAGCACCACCTAGAACTTTATTTTTATTTATTATTATCAACAACTAAAAAAATTTTTTTTTTAAAAACAAAAGCACAATGTGCTTTTTGGTGTGGTTTATGTTATCAAGGCAAAGGCCTTAGGACTCCATGTCATGGTTCCTAGTGCCTGGCCCTGTGCTTGGCACAAAGGTGGTCATTGGTGGAATGGAGTAGCCTGGGCTTTGAGTGGGTAAACCATGGGCTGCTGTGGAGCCAGGAGGAGCCAGGCATCTGCGAAGGCAACAGGTAGTGACTTGAGTCTGGCTGATGGGCGGTAGGGGTGGAGTAGTAGAAAGGCTAGAAAAATGACATGTAGGAAGTAGCTCAGATGTATATGATTACAAGTGCTAAAGCCCTGTTCTGTCTAGTGACCTGCTTTGACTGAGATTGGGGCTGTGCTTCAGGAAGGCATAATATTTGGTAGGTTGATTTCAGACTGGAGACAAGAGGCAGATATGAGTCTGTAGGCATCGCAAAAGAGAATGGCAGTTGCCCCTCGCAGGGATGCGGAAGGTTTGGAGCTTCAAGCAAGAGTTTGAACGCTGCCATTTGACTCCTTTGAGATTAGGCAAGGAAGCATAGTATTCACCAGTCTCAACATGGCAATAGCATCTGAGTCTCCAGTGTTTCTGTCAAGCAACAGGCAATATCTTTTTATTGTAAGACTTGTGCTCAAGTAAAATGTGCTCTTTTTCCCCATGTCACAGTGGGCTCCCTTCAGAAGGGTAATTATTCCAGTCAATCTGGAATGATCCCTGGTTCTTGGCAACATAAAATGAAACTCCAGCTGATTCTCAAGTCATCAAAGGCCTATTATGTCTTGTCCGATGCTGCCATGAGTCTTCAGAAATATGGGAGAGCACTACGATACATTAAGCTGGCCTTGCAGAGCCATGGTAAGCCACCAAGAGTAAGTGGGGTCATGGAAGGGAGGCTGAAGGCATAGGTCACGGTGGGCCCTCACTCCTGCTTCTGTTGTGGAGTTTGATCTTAAAATGGCTTCTCCCAACCCACTGTATGTTACCTAGTATTTTATTTTGTGCTCTGCAGCTTAACATCTCTTCATTTTGAAACACATGTAGCCACCTGAAATATATCTGCTACCTGGCACAAAATGAACTTTGAGCAGATGCAGTGGTATCTAGCTTTCAGCTGGTAACAGATTTTCTTCATTTACTGTGCACAATAATTTTAATGCCTTTGTGTTTATCTCCTTCCTACTATTTTCCAAATAGATACTTACTGCTGCCTGTGTACCAATATGCTCTCTGAAGTGTTGCTGTTTCTTTCTCAATATCTGACTCTCTGTGGTGACATCCAGCTCATGCTGGCCCAGAATGCAAGTAACAGAGCAGCACACCTGGAAGAGTTTCACTACCAAACCAAAGAAGACCAGGAGATCCTGCACAGCCTCCACAGGGAGTCTAGTTGCCAGGGTATGCCAGAGAGGCCTCGTGTGCACAGTGGTGCTGTCCAGAAGCCCATGCTTGTTTATGTCCAGACAAGTGGCAGAAACCTAAGTTGTTCAGTGTTTGCTGTATTGTTTCATTCTTAGTTTTAAAACCAAGCATGATCCTCCTGTTTTTATCAAAAGGTTTTTAAATATAAATATTATTGCTGACTATAAAATAAGGTGAAGACAGTTATGGGTTATCTCTGAAAACTCTTCTTTTTATGAGGGTTTTTTTAGTGGTCAGCAGACCAAGCCATACATTTTCCTTTGGAAAATAGTAAGTTGGTGAGAGTGTATTAATTACCTTCTGAAAGAATGTGGGGCCAAGATAAAGAGACCATTATTTTTAACATGAGTTCATAGCTACTGTCTTGTGTCACTGTCAGGGTTGTCCAGGGCTGCAGTGGGAACTAGGGCAGCACTGCACAGCAGCAGTCCCTCAGCCCAATGCTGTGAGTGCACAGGCTGCGGTCAGGGGCAGATGAGGCAGAAGGCCAGTCTTCTGAAGGTGCTTTTGAAATTTATGATGTACTTGCTTCTTTATGCCCTAAAATTATTCATAACATTTGATATCCGCTTCCAGAAAATCCTGGACAGTTGACGGCTGGAGGAGCACACAAGGGTGCAGTGTCCTTGTCTAATATTTGCCCTCCTTTTTCCCCTTCTCCCTCTCTCTCAAATGGTCATTATATCTTAATAGACACAGTAGAAAAACCTCAGTGTGCTTTGTTCCCATCACAGTCTCCCCATATCTAAGTGTCAGCGGGAGGAGCACTGCCTTTTTCCCCTTGAACTTGGGTTCTACGCTTGCTTACTTCAGCCCACTAGATGGCATTTGTAAGTTTGAGGACTTAGCTAGGACTTGTCTGCTTGTGACTTAATATTGACTTTACTTCAAGTCCTATTTCCATTAAAACTAAAAACTGTTTACTGTGTATCAGTGGATAGCTTTTGGTGTGTACTAGTCCAGCTGGAAAAATCTGGGTATTTATGAAACTATAAAATTGTGTTGTATTGATTAAAACAGTATATTTATGCAGCTTTGCATTTTGTATTTTGACTAAAATCTCTGACCCACTTAGATATTATGGAAGAAGAGTTTATATGGCTTCTGCTAACTTTTTTTTTTTTTTTTAAAGGATTTGCATGGGCAACTGATTTGTCTACAGACTTAGAAAGTCAACTTTCAGTTAGTTGTAAATGCTATGAGGCTGCTAATGAAATCTTGCAGTTTAGTGACTTAAAAAGCCAAAATCCGGAACACTATGTACAAGTATTGAAGAGAATGGGCAACATTAGAAATGAAATTGGTGTGTTTTACATGAATCAGGCTGCTGCATTACAGACTGAAAGAATGGGTGAGTATCTTGGGATTCTTCTCTTTAATCTCTGTTCTGTTATGTAAGTCATGCTGATTTTATATGGGCTGGCTAAGAACTGTTGCACTTGATTGTTATTAAAAGGAACTCTGTTTAAAAAAGCTTTTACTGTTAAAATTCTCAAGAAATAAAATAAGGGGAAAACATAATTTCCCTTGGGCTCCATCAGCTCCGTGTCTTCTTTCTTCCCAACTTTTATACTTCATACCATCTGGTCAGTTCAGAAACCACTTGAACAGTGAGCCACGTTCCAGGCTCTGTGTTGGACGTATAACTGGTCCCTCTTCTGGTTGGAAAGCCTGGTATGAATACAGATCTCTAAAAAGTGCTGTAAATAAGTTCAAATGCAGTACAGTAGGAGAGTGGGGAAAGAAGATATTCAAAGAGGTTGTAGGGTTCTTACAAGCTGTGGTGGAGGGGAGCAGTGTGTGCCGAGTAGACCCCAGCAGGCAAATGTGAAGGAAGAGGGCTTTCCAGATGAGGGAGCACCAGGAAAGTGCCGGTGGAGGGTGTGGTGCACCCGAGAGTAGCAGGGCTACAATGGGCTGTGGGACCTGTGTGTGAAGAGGCCCAAGTTAGAAGTCTGGCTGGGAGCTGCCAGGGCTTCCGCAGCTCCAGTGAGGGCCCTTCCTGTGGTAACAGCTGAGGCCATGTGAGCGGATGACAGCCTGAAGGCTGGCAGTGAGAAGATGGGGCTGGGATGCGGCTGCAGGTGACTTGAAAACAGCTAGGCGCCTGCTGGGCTGTGAACGGGAGCCTGTCCAAACAGTTCACTGCAAGAAGAGCCTGTGCAATTAAGGGCATCTGGAGGAGGTGGCCTGTGGGGGAGCATGGGGCTGGCTCTTAGGAACCTAGGACAACTGGTAGAACAGACTCTGCCCTTGTAGAAGTCCAAGGGACAGCATTTGAATTTGTACAAAATAGCACCTTGCTCAGATGTCTTACCTTGCTTGTCTTAATGTCAGTCCATTAATAATGAGAATATACATAAATGTTGTACCATGTTACCGGGACTGATATAAAATACACAGACTGTGACTTGAACCTCAGAAATATACTTCTCCTGGTTCAAGAGGCCAGAGCCCAAGATGAAGGTTGGATCCCTCTGAGGCTTTCAGTGGCCTGCTGTGTCCCTACTTGACCCTTTCTGTGTGCACAGCCCTGGCATCGCCCCTCACGTACAGGCACACCCGTCATATTAACTCGGGACCCCATTTAACCTAAGTTTCCTCTTTAAAGGCCTGATGCAAATATAGTCACAGTCTAAGATGGGGGTTAAGGCTTCAACCAGATGGATTTGGGGGACACCCTTCCCTTCATGTCAGTCATGGTGAGAGCAGAGCACTGCAGTGGCCCAGGTAGCTGGCTTTCCACCAGGCTCCTGTCACTGCTGTGCTCCTGTCACCCTCACCTGGAGGGACGGTGCTGGGTTCACACTGACATCTGCTCATGCAATTGTTTTCTTTCTTTCTTTGTGAAGTGAGCAAATCTGTGTCTGCTGCAGAGCAACAGTTGTGGAAAAAAAGCTTTTCTTGTTTTGAAAAGGGGATTCACAACTTCGAGTCCATTGAGGATGCTACGAATGCGGCTCTGTTGTTATGTAACACAGGAAGACTGATGCGCATCTGCGCTCAGGCACACTGTAGCGCAGGGGACGAGTTCAGACGGGAGTTCTCCCCAGAAGAGGGCTTGTACTATAACAAGGTAACCTGCCTGCTTGTGGTGGGCCTGGTCTGTTCACTCCTGGCATCTGTTTACCTGTGGCTATCACTCCACTAAAATGTTACACAACTAAAAATAATTGAACCATCGCCCAGGATTTGACGTACTTATAGAAATTTGCCCAACAGTGGTGAGAATCTACTGTTGAAGGAACATCTTGAATTGTTAGGGAGGGAAAAGATGATTCAGTAAGTTATGTGGGTTATCAGAGAAATGTCCAGTAGATTAAGGATTGACATGGAGAGGGGGAAGCTAAAAGCACCAGAAGAAAATGGAGGTAGAGGTTGGCATGGGGCGGGGGGCGGCGGGGAGGACTTCCCCAGCATGGCACAGTAAGCCTAAGATGAATTAACTTAAATGTGCAAATGTGCACAGCAGCAGGTAAAGTTAAAGCAGTAAAATCTCAAATTATTTTCTCCTATTGACTCATTCTACAAACTGTAACTTTTATTCAGAAAGGGAAACAAACTGGAAAAAAATACATCCTTGTGCACCAGGCTGTTAGAAAATAGCACTAAGGACTGACCTGCTGGAGACTCAGATGAAGGGTTCAGTCCACTGTAGATAAACTTGTCAAATTATTTTCATTGGCTTTCTTTTTTCCTTTCTTCATAATGTTGTCCTTTTATAAGTTTTCCCCGTCATTAAATTGACATCCGGGTGGTTTTGCGTATTTTGTGCCAGACACAGTGGTGCACACCTGTGTGCACCACTGGTTGGGGAGGCTAAAGTAGGAAGAGCACAAGTTCAAAGCCAGTCTCAGCAATTTAGCAAGGACCTACACAACTTAGTAAAACCCTGTCTCAAAATAAATAAAAAGGGCTGGGGATGTGTCTCAGGGTTCAGTCCCTGGTATGAAAAAAAAAGTATATTTTAATGCAGTATTGGTATATTTGTAAACAAAGTAAAAAATTCTCACCTTTTCTTTCCTTGCAGGCTGTTGATTACTATTTGAAAGCTCTGAGGTCATTAGGAACGCGAGACATACACCCAGCCGTCTGGGACTCAGTGAACTGGGAATTGTCCACTACTTATTTTACCATGGCAACTCTACAACAGGATTATGCTCCATTATCCAGAAAGGCTCAGGAGCAGGTCGGGAGGTTTGCTGGATTATGAAATGAGTCTTCAGCCTTATTTATTCCTTTGTTATCTTTTCAACAACCAGTATTTAAACATTGTGAAATTCTTAGTCTGTGATTGTGAGCTTGTCATTTTTTTCTCCCCCTTAAAAAAAAAAAAAAACAGATTGAAAAAGAAGTCAGTGAGGCTATGATGAAGTCCCTGAAGTACTGTGACGTTGATTTGGTGTCTGCCCGACAGCCTCTCTGTCAGTATCGAGCAGCAACCATCCATCACAGGCTGGCTTCCATGTACCACAGTTGTCTACGGAATCAGGTATGTCTGTTCCAGGCTAAGTTGCTTTCCAAGAACATTTACAAGTGTTCCTTGCAATGAATTCTAATTAGCCACTTTAGAAAAACCCATGGAGCAGGTGTTCCTCCCCTCATTTGTGCCATGTTTTTCTCTACTACATTTGATCAGGTCTTGGTTTGAAAATTATACATTTGCTGGGTGCGTTACTTAGTTGGTCTTAAATGCCATCAGAACTATAGTAATGGTTCTGAGCAAACTTTGAAGTAACCGTCTCCTGGTTTTTTTTATTGTGATACAAAGCATGCCTGTGAGAGCACAGGTGGAGCAGAGGTGCAGGTAAAGACTGATGGAAGGAAACCCCTGTGACCTTGCCTGGAGTTAGAACAGAGAGCTCTTTAGAGAGCCCCTAGCACCCTGCTGGTATTGCCCTGCCAGGCACCCAGATTGGTGCAGAGCTATCTGGTGTCTTGCCACTTGATGTTGATGTGTTGGGTTTTACGTGGTTGTGAAACTTATGGAATGACTTGAACTGCAAGGGTCCTTCTGTGGATTACTGCCTTTTGCTTAAAGGCATGTTTTTGAGATCCACACATCAGTGCAGGTAGCTCTTCATTTCACAACTCAGTAGTGCTTGTGCAAGGAAGATAGCATAGTTCAGTTACTCATACTGTGGCTACTAAACTTGGTGTTTTCCAATTTGAGGTGGATGCTGGTGCTCAGCCTCGTGGATTGCGAGGAAGCACATGATACCCAGGTTGAAGCTGCCCTCTTTTAGAGAGTCTGCTTTGCTTCTGCAGGAGACTTGTCCTTGTAGTCAGTCTGTTGTGCATTGTTTTCCCCTTCCTTGGCTCGATACCTGGACACCATGCTGTACAGTCGCTTGGGCTTTGTTCTCTTCTGGACCCCTCACTCTGAGTAATCAGCCTTTGAGACCCAGCTTTACCTGGAAAGGGTTTCATTCCACTGTGCTGAGGTGCTCCCCATCTGAGGTCCCCTTACCATAGGAGACCCCCACCCCCAGCCAAAATTCAAGTTTGCCCAAATGGCTTAATATCTTCAGGACAAAAGCAACTTGAAGGATATTTAGGCAGTTCAGTGGGGGAAGACTAGTAGTCTCCTCAGCAAATGGAGCTGGCACAGATGGCTCTCCACGTGCAGAAGAACAGAAGTGGGCTACTGCTTCACAGCATAAGTGAAGATCAACTTTAAGTGGCTTGAAGGCCTAAGTATAAGAGCTAAAACTTAAAGACTTGTAGGAAGAATGTAAAAAACTGAAAAGCATTTAGTGATCCGGTCAGAATACTTGAATAACTAGTTACTATGAACCCCAAGCCTTAAGAATTGCATTTTTAAATTTTGTTTTTGGTTCTAGGTTGGTGACGAACATCTTAGGAAGCAGCACCGGGTGCTGGCAGATCTTCATTACAGCAAAGCTGTAAAGCTCTTTCAGCTCCTCAAAGACGCTCCATGTGAACTACTTAGAGTGCAGTTAGAAAGAGTGGCATTTGCAGAATTTCAGATGACCAGTAAGTCTGATGTCTCACTTTTCAGATCCCTGTGCACTGGCTCAGTGTGGAATTTTCCTGGAGTCTTAGAGCCTCTGGATTGCTCTTGGATGTAACTGATGATGTTTTCTTATTAATTTGCCTATAGGCATGCCTTATGCAGGGACCTGGAGAAGTTACTATGCTTTTTTTTTTTTTTTTTAACATTTATTTATTTATTTATTTATTTTTATAGTTGTAGATGGATAGAATGCCTCTATTTTATTTGTTTATTTTTTTTTATGTGGTGCTGAGGTTCGAACCCAGTGCCTCACGCATGCTAGGCAAGCACTCTACCACTGAGCTACAATCCCAGACCTTTGCTATGTTTGTTGAGATGCATTTTAAAACAGAGCAGTCAATTTAGACAAAGATTTAAATCGGCATGCAAAACTTGGGGATGGAGAAGCAGCAATAGAGAAGTAGAGGTTCTTGTTGAATGCCTTTAAATATGGAACTGACGCTCGAGCTTTTTGGGTTGTGGTTCTAGAATAGATGCTAAAGTAGAGCCTGATCAAACTTAGGATAATTTGGGATGTGGGGGAATTGTGAAAAGAAGTGGGAGTGCTTCCTGTGTTGCTTCCATGGCCGACACCAAGGGGCCACTCTAGTCACTTGGTGCTTTCTGAATTCTCACCCTCTACTGCTCTCTCACTAGCTTTCTTCTTAATAGAGAGGATTTTTGAAAAATATTTTCTCTTTTCCCCCCCATGCTGGGAATTGAACCCAGGGGCACTTAACCACTGAGCCACATCCCCACCCCCTTTTCGTATTCTTATTAGAGACAGGGTCTCACTGAGTTGCTTAGGGCCTCACTAAGTTGCTGAGAGTGGCTTTGAACTCATGATCCTCCTGCCTCAGCCTCCTGAGCTGCTGGGATTATAGGCTTATACCACCGTGCCCGGCTGAAAAATATCTCTTCTGTGGTAAGGAAACAATTTATTTGGAGTGCAGCAATTCATTTGGCTTCACTTTGGTATTTTGCTTTTTAAAATTTTAATTTTAAAGTTTCAGATTTTGGAGAATTTCAAATTTCTGATTTTGTGATTAAGGATGCTCAACTTATAAAAAGTCTGTGCAAATATTCCAAATTCAGAAGTTTGAAACACAGTAACAAGCGTTTTGGATAAGGAACTAGTCAACCCATTTTTCAAAATATATGTGTGTGTGTGTGTGCATACATACACATGTGTACCCGTGTCTTAGTGTGTAGGTGCATAAGCAGCCTTGGAAGGATGTGCCTGAGGAGAGGACTGGGAACACATTCTCACTGCCTTCATTCTCACATTGAACCTTGTAAATTTGGGGAAAGTATTACCTTTTTAACAGTTTCTAAAAATATTTTATTTTGCTATATTTTGCTAATTCTTTGCTAACATAGTAATGCATGGTGTCCACATGGGTTGATCTGCAGGATCAGCAGCACCTCTTTCTGGGATGGGTTTGAGGTGAATTATGTAGCTTGTTTGAATGCTTTAAAAAAAGCAGGCATCATTTTTTTTTTTTTCCTTTTGTTGGGTGGGGACAAGGTGGGTATTGGGGTTTGAACTCAGAGGTGCTCTACCTCTACCATGGAGCTACATTCCTTTTTTTTTTTCTTTTCTTTTTTTTTTTTTTTTTTTTTGAGATAGGGTCTCACTAAGTACCTTGGCTGGCTTCAAACTTGTGATCACTCCTGCCTCAGCCCCCGAGTCCCTGCATTACGGGTGTGTGCCATCACACCTAACTTGAGTAGGCCTCATTTTTATAAAACGAATAGAGAGATTCCAAGAATAAGTTTGCTAAGATGATGTAACTAATTCTGTTTTTTAAATTTTTTTTTTTTTTAGAGAGAGAGAGAGAGAAAAGTTTTATAATATGTATTTTTTAGTTTTCAGCAGACACAACATCTTTGTATGTGGTACTGAGGATCGAACCCTGGCAGCACACATGCCAGGCGAGCACGCTACTGCTTGAGCCACATCCCCAGCCCATTTTAACTGTTTTAATAGCTGGAGTGTAGCTCAGTGGTAGAGCACTTGTCTAGCATGTATGATCTCCTGGGTTTAATCCCAGTACTGCCCAAAAAGAAAAAAGTTTTAATAGCCTGTGTACCTTACGAAAACAATTTAAATACTTCAGAAGGTTTTATTAGCCAAGCTTCTGGGTTTTGTAAGCCACATCAATAAAGACTAAATGTATAAAAATTTTTAGTGTATAAAACCTTTCAAAGGAATCACGTGACCTACTGTTTTCTTCTCCAGTACTTAGGGCTCATATTTACCTTTCTTTGTCTTCTTCCCTCTGCCCCAACAGCTTTTCCATACATAGTCCAGAGCTTTCTTCCCTGTGTCAGATCTACACTGAAAACACATCTGTCCACTGATATTTTTTTCCCCCAGTGCCGCAGTCTGGCTGGGCACAATTCAGGAGCCACTTGTCAAAAGAAACAAACTTTATTTTTAGAACACACACACTGCACCACACAGCTCTTCAGGAAAACCCTCAGAGCCCAACTGCCACCACCAGCTTCCCACAAGCCTCCCCCACCCCTCCTGCTCTTGAGGCCGATTGGCTGGGTCGCGTGGGCGGAGCCAAAAAATGTCCCCCAATGAGCAGCTCCGTGGTCTGAAAGGGTGGGGAAACAGCCCAATGAGCATCACCGCAGAGGAGCCAATCAGTTGGCAGCTAGAAGTTTGCTGGGGCCGCTGTGAGCCAATCATCAGCTGGCAGCTGGAAGTTTGCTGGGGCCCCTTCAGCTCTGGCTCTCAACATCTCCCCCTCTCTGTTTAAACAACAAGCATGTGGCTTAGAGACCGTGCCTGCCTTAGGTTGTCCAATACTACATATGATCCTTACCCATCCTCGGATGAGCTGACCTCAAGGCGTCAGCCTCCTGTCTTAGGTTGGTACCATTGCAATTGGATCTTACCCGTCATTGACTACCGGTCCAGCATACAGCGACACCTGTGGATAGGTCTTTGTACCAGTGGGGGGGTGAGGTTCTTTGCCTCACCTCTGTTGGCCCCCAAATTTTAGCTTTTAACTGAACGCCATCACAAGCAGAAGGGAGGAAGATACACCAAGTCAATTGATGGCTCCTTTTTGGAAAAATTGTACCACCAATGACACCATCAGCAAAAATACCCCAACACTACCACAAGTCGCTGCACCAACAGATAGTTCACAATGCATACAAGTGAGTTCACAATGCATACAAGTGATACATGGTCTAGGCAAGTTCTGCAAGCAGTTCAGTGATAGCTGTTGCAGAAGCTGTAGATTGGTTTTATCTTTGTCTTCACGGCACTGGGATGAAGATAGAAATTCTGGCAATAATGGCTAAAGAAAAAATTATGTAACATTCCAGAAGGCACTAAAAGAAAACAATTTTCTGAACAATTTACATTATCTTGAACAGAATTATTAAATATAATGAAAAGGAAAGGTGAAAGTAAACAGATCTGTTAACCTCCTTTTTTGTTCACATATTGAAACAATCCTCAACAGCTGTTTACCCAATTTAATTTAAATCACATGAATAAAAAAAAATATTTGGATCCATTTTTTCATGAGCGCTCATCATATATGATATATGGACATACGTACATACAAACATACAACACAAAACACAAGTGTGCACACATAATACATACAACACATAACAGTAAAGGCCTTATAACTTTTTACAGGTGAAATCTTCATTGCAATGTTTAAAAACTCTATAGTCAAAAATAGAACTGATCAGCAAAACATTAACCTAGGTCTGCATGAGCTCAAAAAAACAAAATAGAACTTCATGATGTGGGAAAGGGCAGGAATAAAATAGATATTGAAAAAAGCATTCTGGTTCTGTTGCAGATGTAAGGGTAGCCAAACTGGAGTTCTGGATATCAGCTGTTATGGATTTGAGCCAAATCATCATCTTTTTGGTCTATAGAAATCACTTTAGTTAATCTCTCTGGAATCCAAATCGGCTGCTGTTCTTTCTCCCTGTGGAAACACACAAACAGACCCCCGACTACAGACAATTACTGGGTCAGGACCTTTCCATTGTCCTGTTAGAATATCCTTCCAAAGTACCTTGGGCTTATGTACATTTTTTGGACACATATGCCTTTCCGCAGCACTAAGTCCTGATGTATCTAAATTTAAAAAGTTTATCTTTGGGGAATATATACCCCTTCCCAATTCCCTCTTTTTGCTTTAATAAGTACATTTTAATAGTTTGATGAGCTCTTTCAACTATGCCTTGTCCCTGTGGATTGTATGGGATTCCTGTTACATGAGTAATGCCAAATGATGAGCAAAATTGTTTAAAAGAGGTAGAAGTATAACCAGGGGCATTATCTGTTTTTAACTGTTTTGGAACGCCCACAGTGGCAAAATTTTGTAAGCAGTGAGCTATAATATCTTTAGTTTTTTCTCCGACATGAAGGGAGCCCATCAAAAATCCGGAAAAAGTATCAACTGTAACATGCAAATATTTTAATTTTCCAAATTCTGGCAAGTGTGTGACGTCCATCTGCCAAATATGGTTAGGTATCAGTCCTTTAGGATCAACTCCAAGATTAACTTGTGGTAAAAAGGTCACTGCTGATCCTCATAAGGTCCCTTTCCTAACAACATATCTAGATTTCTCTGAGGATAACCAGCTGCTGCATTTCGCCTAGCCGTCTCCTTGCAAAATTCCTCATTGGCAACCTTCCATAACAGGTATTGTCCTCCATTTAGCACAGCTTTATACATATTAGCCCAATCTGCTGGTGTCATGTTCAGGTTGGTAATGGATTCGACCATGCTTACAGTGAAGGGTGCTTGAGGACTGTAGGTTGTTACAGCAGCTTTTAGCTGCTTCCCTTTTTTGAAATTTAAAGCATGGTAAAATCGCTGCCCTCCTGCCTCAAATACAGGGCATGTTAATATTTGAGATCCTGTCTCAGGATCCCAACTATCAACTGCAGGGGTTGGGGGCTTCCCAGCATATGGAGGTGGCGCTGTTGGTTGGACACTTATGCCCTCTGGTGATAGAAAGGTGTTAGTAGCAGTCTCCTGTTGTAACTTTTCCCCTGATGGCTTTTTCTGCTCTAAACTTTCTTCCTTTGTCTGACTAGCTTGAGAGACCTTCTCTTTTACTTGAATCTTTTCCTCTAACTTGAGAGATCTTCTCTTTTACTTGAATCAATATGTCTTCTCCTTCCTCTACCATTGTCTGAACTGAAGGCTTTGGACTAAGCAAACAAGATACAAACGTCCACAATGGCAATGTGCCAACTGGTAGAGTTCCTGGGCTTTTCTTTTCTATTCTTTTTAAATCTTCACCATGATGGTTCCATTGTGATATATTTAACAACTCCTCCTTAAAAAGCCATGGGCTCCATTTTTGTATTGTATCAACGTATGCCCTGACTGTTCTTGATTTTACTGAAATGCCTCCTTCCTCTAACAATTTACTTAACACTCTTTCGGTTTGTTTTTTTACTAATTTCTGATCCCATATTTCTACTATAATACAACCCAACAAGATGACGCCAAACAAAACCGAGACAGAATGAAACAAAAATGGAACAACACAAAATCATTATATCAGCCTTTCTATCCTCCTGAAATGTCCATCCGTCCTTTCTCCCTATCTGTTCCTCAGACGCAAATAGTTTTTCCTCAGATGTGAGCGGTTTTTCTTCCGTCTCACTCATCTCCAGTGACAGGCAACTTAAAACAAAAGCAAAACAAAACAAAAGAAGAATCTTAAAATGGCTACGCATCCTCTCACCCTGCCCTCAGGGGCGAGCAGTTTACCTTATCACTTACCCTCAGTCGTTCCCCCGTACGGGCCACCAAATGCCTCAGTCTGGCTGGGCACAATTCAGGAGCCACTTGTCAAAAGAAACGAACTTTATTTTTAGAACACACACACCGCACTACACAGCTCTTCAGGAAAACCCTCAGAGCCCAACTGCCACCACCAGCTTTCCACAAGCCTCTCAACCTCCCCCACCCCTCCTGCTCTTGAGGTCGATTGGCTGGGTTCTGTGGGCGGAGCCAAAAAGAGTCCCCCATTGAGCAGCTCCATGGTCTGAAAGGGCGGGGAAACAGCTCAATGAGCATCACCGCAGAGGAGCCAATCAGTTGGCAGCTAGAAGTTTGCTGGGGCCACTGTGAGCCAATCATCAGCTGGCAGCTGGAAGTTTGCTGGGGCCCCTTTGGCTGTGGCTTTCAACACCCCAGTGACATTTTTTATTTGTTCTTGTTAGATATACATGGCAATACACTGAGTTTTGACATACATATGTGGAGTTTAACTTATTAGGATCCCATTCTTGTGGTTGTACATGATATGGAGTTTCACTAGTCATATGTTCATATGTGAACATAGCAAACTTATATCCAGTTCATTCTAATGTTTTCCACTGATTTTTTAAGATTTGTTGTTTTAAAGTTTGAGATTATGCTGCAAAGGAAGACAGCAGCAGTTGTCCCAGGCCCACTTCCACTTCTGACACCAGCCTCAAGTTTGAGGGTCCCCATGATTACCCTCAGGCTCAGCAGTTCACTAGGACATCTCAGTTCACTGAAAGCTGTTCCACTCTTGACTGTGGCTTCTAAGAGAAATAGGGTACATGTCAAAATCAGCCACAAGAAGAGGTACATGGAGCAGAGTCCAGGAGAGTGTTAAGCACAGAGCTTCCAGTTATCTTCTCCAGTGGAGCTACGCGTAGAACGGTACTCCCCTCAGTGGTGTGGAGCATTATGTGCAAGGGAGCTCACCTATGTCTTGGTATCCAGAGTTTTTGTTGGGATTTAGTCACATAGACGTGGTTAATTGCCACATGGCTGACCTTAGTCTCCCAGTTCTCTGGAGGTTGAGCTATTACCATGAGGCCCAGAAGCCCCCATGATAAGTTACAGTCTTAGATTATCTAGCGTGGCCCAAGGCCTCCCAGGTAAACAGAGATACTTACCATGGGGGACATCCCAAGTGCTAAGAAAGCATTCTCCAGGAGCCAAGGACAAAATGTAGCCCTCCCTCTGGAGAAGACTAATGCTGTAGTGCATGCCACTGCACACACACTGACGCAAGCTCCAAGAGAGTAGGGTCTAAGGTGCTCTGTGCTTTCTGATAGCTTTAGAAACATTTTAACAATAAACCCTAGAGTAAAGTTAAACTCATTCATCCGGTCTGACTTTGAACAGAAAGATAACATGCTTACTGTACAAATAAGTGCTAAGTGACTTGACCAATGTCAGGCAGCTGGCAAACAGTGGGATGGCTTTCAACCACAGACTCTTCTTGACCCTAGCGCTCCAGATAGGGCTCCTCTTCCAAGGTGTGTTCTCACCTTGAACAAGTCAATAGTGAGGCTGGGGAACAATTAGTATTTATTACTTTGTCTAGACTTAATACTTCTCTCGGGAAAATTAAACAGAAATTAGATTTGCTGGGATTCTCATGAGCTATCCCTATCGCGTTTGAAAACCAGTTTTTCATTACAACATTAACATGGATGAGTTTCTAGGTTGATGTGTAAAAGAAAGATCATTTTGTTTTTACTGTTTTAGGTCAGAATAGCAACGTTGGAAAGTTAAAAACACTCTCTGGGGCTCTGGATATCATGGTGAGGACTGAGCATGCATTCCAGCTCATCCGGAAGGAGCTTGTAGAGGAATTTGACCAGGTAATGAAGAAAATCACCATTTTTATGTGTCTTATGCTAAATGGTGAATGTATATTATGATCATATGGCATTCTTATAAATGTGTCTGTACACACCTACATGTGTGTGTACATATATGCTCTGCATAAAAACATTTTAAGAGTGGTTTGTGCATGTCATAGTCTGTCTTGTATTGCTATAACAAAATCCTGGAGGCTGGATAACTTACAAAGAAGTATTTGTGGTTCACAGTTCTGGTAGCAGAGGGTCCAGACAGCATGGCACCTTGTCCTAGCAAGGCCCCCCTGGCTGTATCACAACATGTTGGAGAGCCAGAAAAGGAACTCAGCCTGTACTGAAGGGGCCAAGGCACGAGGTGGCTGCTTTCTAGTAGCCTGCTCTTGTGAGAACTAAGCCCATTCCAGGACACCTAACCCACGTGACCTAGTTGCCTCCCACTGGACCGCACCTGTTAAAGCCTTGCCAGCTCAATACCACCACCTGGAGACCAAGCCGCTCCGAGGGTGAACCATAGAGGTTATGTCTTCAGGGTAGAACTAAAAATTTTGAATAAGTTGCAAGTATATCTTTTATGTATTAAAAGTTTTTTAAGAATATGCTGTATTGATTAGCAAGTTATAAAGGCTCTTCAGCTTTTCTGTTTGGGGTTTGTTTTGCTTTTGTTCTTTAAGAGAAAGAAAAAGCCTGAGCTTCTTTTCATAATTTCCACTATACTTCCTGAAACTTTTGAATGGTGAATGGCTTAAACAGGCTCCAGGGGAAGGAATTTCTAGTTTTCTGGGCAGTCTAGAACTCAAGCTGCCCAGAGAGTCCTGGGTGGTGTCCTTTCTGCCGTGTTCCTGCAGGGAGTGATGCTGGGGAGTCAGGAGCTTGTTGTGCAGGGTTAAGCACTTGGTAGGTGTGGGACACGTTTATTATGTGATTTCAGGTCTGCTTTTTATTTTGTTTTTGGGTTTAAATTAATGGATAAATGAAACTGCAGTTTTGTCATTTTGATATGAAACTACAGTTGCTGGATAGCTTAGTGAAGTTTCATTTTGTTGTTTTTAGCCTAAGGGTGGTGAGACCAGTCCAGCTGCTGATTCTTCTCCTAGTCTTAACAGAGAAGAAGTGATCAAACTCCTCAGTATATTTGAATCTCGATTGTCCTTCCTCCTCCTCCAGTCCATCAAACTGCTGTCTTCAACTAAAAAGAAAACAAGGTGAATTACATGGTTATTTGTGAAAACTTCTTTCTCTATGAAAAGAATATGAATAATCTCAACTGACATTGTAAAAAAATAGTTGTATCCTTTCTTGTCTTTTATTTGGAAAATTCATGATTTTAAGTGGTATTCCTTCTTAACTTCTTCAACTAGGTGAGAAGTGTCTCCATCTGGCCCACTGCATGTCAGTTATATAGCTGGAAAAGTCTTGCTGCCTAGGGGTAGATACCCTATGGTGATCTGTTCCATTGAAAGGATGAATGGCCCTGAGCTGGAGACTCTAGATATTCCAGATAATACTTCTAAATGTCATCTTTAGTGAGAAGTCCGGGCTGTAGTTGGCTACTCTGGGTGAATTGTACCATAAAAGGAAATGGCAATGGTGTAGGCCTGTAATCCTGGCAACTTGGGAGGCTGAGACAGGAGAAGCACAAATTTGAGACCAGCCTCAGCAATTTAGCAAAACTTAAGCAACTTACCAAGACCCTGTCTCAAAATAAAAAACTGAAAGGGCTGGAGATGTGCCCCTGGATTCAATCCCCAGTAGCCTCTTGCCAAAAAAGAAAAAAAGATGGGAGAACACTGCAGTCCCTCTAAAGCCAGGAAATTGGGAGAAAAAAGGAGTGAGCACCTTGGCCAACATGTTCCCAGGTCCCTCTGTCATCTTGTGCAGTACATGGGTTTGCCCGAGCTTTAATTATGAAAGTATTGACTTAATTTGAAATTGCAGTAAATCAGAAAGATAGTGGGAATAGTATACCTTTCTTCTTAAAAATGTAAGTGCAGTCTGGCTTGTATTACAAAAATTGGAAAATAGAGAAAAGAACTCTCCCATGCATCCATTGTTAGTTATCCTATTTATGTTTACCAATTTATGATATAAGGGTACAGATAATTTTTATCTTTTATTTTCAGTGAAATTCTGTGTGGTATACAGTTCTTCAAGGTTTAATGAGTACATAGATGTATGTCAGTTGTATTTGGGACACAGTACCATTCCTTCACTCCAAAACCTATTTCTCTGCTGAAATTATAGGTCTGATCTTGAACAAGACCACATTTTCATTGGAACCTTAGACATAATTGACCATTGTCATTTGCAGTCCTCTGTGAGCAGTTCCCACCTTGTCATCTGAGTCTGGTTCTGTGGCTCCTTCCTCTCTTGCCAGGATGCTGCTGCCACCTTTCCTTTCACGAACTTAATTATTGAAAACCAAACATCTTGTGTCAGTCAGGAGAGACTGGGGGAAATAATTAGTTTGTCTGGAAAGTTCTTATATCTTTGACCTGCTAGGCCGTTGGTGTGGAGAATTGAGTTCATTCTGTAGCCTGGAGCTGAGCTGCGGTTAGGATTTTTTCATGTCATGGTTATTACGCATATGCCACAGGCTTAGTGCTAGCAATGTAATAGTCCCCTGTTAGCTGTAGTTCCCCTCACTGAGATTTGTTTACCCACGGTCAGCTGTGGTGCCAAAATACTAAATGGAAAATTTAAGAAGCAAGTCTTTGCACAGCATTCTGAGTAGCATGATGAACTTTCATACTGTCCCACCAGGACGTGAGCTGTCCTGTGCCCAGAGTGTGCATGTGTGTGCACTTCCACCCACTGATCATTAGCAGCCTCCAGTCATGAGTTTCTCTGTTGCAGTGGCTGTGCTTGCGTTTCAGTCACTTAGATTACATAATAATGACTCAAAGCTCAACGGTAGCTGTGGTGGCAACTCAAGATACAAAGAAAAGTCTAAGGTGAAAAGGTGATAGTTCTTGACTTAAGAAAAAGTAGGTCTAGGTCGAGGCGGCTGAGGTCTGTGCTCTTTCTGTGCCTAATTTATAATATACACAGGTGTGTATATATAGGAGCAAACGTGGCATATGTGGGGTCAGTACTGTATATTACTTTCAGGCATCTACTGGGGGGTCTTGAAAAGTATCCCTAGATAAGGGGAAATGACTGTACCTGGCATTTAGAGTGGGGCAGGTCTGCAGGAATGGTTCTCAGTGTCTGTTCCACTTGGAGCGATAGATCATCCCTGCATGCTGCACCTGGCAGAGTGCCTCTCTACGGTGTCACGGCCTTGCCAGCTATATTCCACTGACACTTGTTCTTTGGTGCTTGTTAGTCTGTTTGGGAGAGGAGGGGACCAGTTGGCCAGACTTCTTAGTTGTTTGGGGTGCACCTCAGTCTTGGCAGACTTGTTGCATTTGAATCATTCTCTGTAGCCTGAGGAGCGCTCTTCTCTGGGGAAGTCTCAGTGTGGAGTATACTGCCATCTCACTCAGCCCTGTGGGTGATCTTCAGTGTCTGCCACAGCAGGTCCTGGTACACAGTAGGGTGTGCTGATGTGTTCAGTGAAGTTGACAGATAAATCCATCTTTTCGAAGAATCAGAAAGGAAAGTAGATAGTGCATGTAGTGACACACAGTTGATAAAGTGATTGTGGCTTTTCTAGCTTGACAACAATAGGTAACTTTAAAATGTTTACTAGTTTTCACAAGATGGCAATATAAATATATGATATGTGAGAAACAGTAATTCATTGATTTGCACAAATTGATGACAGGTAATAGTTTCAGTCTTATGATAGTGTTATAACAGTCCTATGCATGATCTAAATAATTTTTATCTTAGTGGAGGGTTTCCTAACCTGTTTGTTCAAGTTATTAATATTCTGTTGAAGACAGTTTTAATTTAGAGTTTCATGCATGATACATAAAATAATTAGAAAATTTTGGATTTTTTTTTTTCAGATTTATTAAAGACTGTTAAATGTTGTTACAGCAAAGCTGAGTATGGTGGCGCACACCTGTAGTCCCAGCCGTTGGGAGGCTGAGGCAGGAGGATTGCGAGTTCAAAACCTGCCTCAGCAAAAGTGAGGCTCTAAGCAACTCAGTGAGACCCTGTCTCTAGATAAAATACAAAATAGGGCTGGGGATGTGGCTCAGTGGTCAAGTGCCCCTGAGTTCAATCTCTGTACTGAAAAATATATATATATAATTACAACAAATATATCGAAGGGTTAGAAATAGAACTTTATTAGTCATTAAGGCAGTGCCTCTTTCTGTCTCACTTCACTAACAGGCAAGTAAAACCTCTGATTCTGTGTGAAGAGGCCTCCTGCGTAGGCCTTGTTATTCCACAAAGCAGTGTGGATCCCCTTGTAGATGATAGGGAAATAAGAATGAGACCTTAAAAGAAAGGAAACATTAATTTGTTTCGTTTTTGACTGCTATTCCTCTCCAGCCCCCTAAGGGAAGAAATAAAAATAAAAAGCAAATTGGACATAATAATAAGAAATCCCAATTTTCTTAAATTGCTACAGAATTACAGTGAAATCTAAGAAAATTAAGATGCATTTAATTTGTTCAAGAATTTTTATTTTCAGCTATGAAGGTACTTCATCATGTGTCAACTGCGTTGGCATTGTCCTGCTAGAATAATAGTTCATTAGGTTGTGGGGGGTCTGATTTGTTGTTTTTCTTTTGGGATTAAGAATTTTATTTGCTCTTATACTGTACTTTTATATTCATTGCTTTAGAGAAAGAGACCTCTTGACATTTTGGTGGCTTTGGGGTTTAATTTAATGGGGAAAAAAAAAAAAACATGAAAAAGTAGAAGTAATCTCTGCCAATGACACCACTGAAGAGAATGGATTCAGGAAGGGCATGATTTGTAGAAACTAAGAGATGAAGATCTAAAATGTAGAAGTACCATCTGAAGAAATCAAAGGGTTTAGAATTTGATCCCAGTGACCATCAATTATCTTTAGGCACCCAGCTAAAGTAACCAAATGATGTTATTGTCCTCAAAAAATAATTTATATTTCAAATGCCTTTTCTTATTGTTAAATGTTATTGCCTGATTACTGTCAAAAATAATGTGCATTTCCTATAAGGTTATCAGGAATTCTGATTAGTAATACTACCCCTCCAAAAAAACTAAAACACAGCCAGTCTTAAGTCCAAGTACAGACAGTGAATGAATTATGAGTGGTATGCTGTGGCAGGTTTGGGGGAAGAAAGACTTTCCTGATACAAAGAAGTGGGAATTGGAAGGGAGGAATTATCTTCTACAGGGGGCAGCCGGCTGCAGAAGAGGGGTGAATGGAGCCTGGAACCTAGGAAAGAGGGGAACCTGACAGCCAGGCTTGGTGGGGACGGCATCTTAGCACCCAGGTGCTCTCTTTGGCAGGCCCAGAGGTCTCTTGGGCAAGGGGAGAGAATTTGCACACTAGGAAGGAGAAAGAGCACAGCATTAGAAATTGGGAAACGAGCCCTGCATGGTGGCACATGCCTTTAATCCCAGCAGCTTGGGAGGCGGAGGCAGGAGAATTGCGAGTTCAAAGCCAGCCTCAGCAACTTAGCAAGGCCCTAAGCAACCTAGTGAGACCTGTCTCAAAAGACAAAAAGGGCTGGCAATGTCGCTCAGTGGTTAAGCACCTTTAGGTTCCATCCCTGGTACCAAGGGGGGAAAAATAGTGGGAAACATGACGTTTTGACCCTGATCCAAATTGTCAACTTTTGGGGGCCTTATCTTTTACGGTAAAATCAAATCAGTCCTTGCTTTGCGAGGAGCAACGTTGTCCTGTGGAGGTGTGTCACATTTTGCTAGGAGCCGTGAAACTGCTGGCTTGTGAGCTGGGTCTCTTATACATGTAGACGCATTAAAAGGAGGGTGGCTAGAATTGAACTGCCATGTAATTACTAGTCTTGCATCTCATACATTAATCCATTATAAGGGGTAAATATTTTCAGAACCAATTAAACTTTTACAGTGGAGTGGTGTAATATGTACCTCAGTGGAGGAGCATCTTCACCAGAAGGTGCACCAGTGTCCTTAGACAGCATGGGGGTGCTGCCATCCTGTGACTCTGCTCGATGTCCTAGGTGGCTCCAATGCAAGAGCTGGCGTTCTGCAGTTGGTTCAGAGTATAGGAGACAGGAGTGGTGGCGCAGGCCCATGATCCTAACTGCTCAGGAGGTTGAAGTGGGAGGATCATGAGTTTGAAGCCAGCCTGAGCATTTTAGGAAGCCTCTGATTTAGAACAAAAGGGCTGAAGGTACAATTCAGTGGTAGACTATGTGTGAGGCCCTAGGTTCAGTCTCTAATACTGCAAAAAAAAAAAATACAAAGTAGAGGAAAGCCATCTGGCTTTCCAGTGCCCTCAACCATATCAACTCTGTTTCTTTTAGGGGATGTGACAGTCGTCTGCCACTGTCTGTTTTGTTTTCTTCTGGTGCTGGAGGTTGAACTCGGGTCCTGGAGCATGCTAGGCATGCACTCCACCACTGAGCTGCATCCCCAGCATAGTTGTCCACTGTACATCTTCTCCCAGTGTCTCACCACCACCCCTCACACAAAACAGGGACTTTTGTCCGTTTGGTTCACTACCAAGAGCAGTTCCTGGCAGAGGACGTGAACAGATAAAAGGCTTTAACTCAGTTTTAGTTGATGTATTGACATGAGTGTCAAGACAGGTCTAGGAACAGAAGATAGACGATAGGTATGGGGAGGCACTGGGAGACCTGCTTCTCTGTGTAGCACCACTGCTGTGCTGTTACTGTTTCCAGATCCCTTCACTGTGCCCTTCACCTGTTGTTCTTTTTTTTTTTTTTTTTTTGGCGGGGGGACCCCAGCAATAACATTGAAGAAGATGGACTTCTCAAATCCAACAAGCAAATTTACTCCCAGCTTTTGAGAGCTACTGCAAACAAAAGTGCAAGTCTTTTGGAAAGAATTGATGTCATCATCCATTTGCTGGGGCAGCTTGCTCATGGGGGCAGCGGAGTAAGCAGCGGCGCCGTTCAGTGACCTCGCGCAGAGCTGCGTCTGCAGACGTGCTGACAGTGCCTTCTGACCACAGGAGTGGCTTTGTCCATTCGGTGCTGAGTTTCATTAAATGTGAGGAAATACCCATTTGAAACAGGCATGCACTTATTTCTCATGACAGACAGACAATGGTGAGTTCTTTGGCTTCTTCGTTTGAAGTGCTAAAGCCAGAACTGAACTGAAAGCTTCAGCTTTTATTTCTATGAGACGTACATGGTACCTCAATATTAATAGACTTTCTGTTATGCAATTATACTTTCAGATATTTTTGAAGTATCTTGGATAACAAAGGTTTAAGATATTATTTTGGATAAAATGTTGCTTCCACCAAGAGAACCTTTTATCCAAATGATATTACAGGTTCAAATGGGTTAAAGAAACTTCCTATAAATCTACAATATTTCCTTCCAAATTGCACAAGAGCGTCCCCTTTGTGAATTTCAGTGCAGGAGTTTTGAAGACTAGCCATTGTGCACTACTCTATATTTAATGCATGTTTTGAAGGGATTCACTTTTCTTCAACTTTATATGACAGTTGATCAGGAATAGTATTATTTCCCCTCCCCTCCTTTTTCATTTTAAACTTGAAACTGTGAATAAGGTAAAAAAACTATTTTGAATAAACTATTTATTTAAAATATCTTATTTTCCATTTTTTCATTCCTCACATTAAATTGTGATTTGAACTCAGTTTAATAATTACAAAATAAAGATCATAACGTTAAAAGTAAAACTTTGCCATCCACTCAGTTTTCACTGGAATATTTCACTTACTCCTTGCTGTGTGTGGGTCTTGTCTGATTGCATACATACACTTCCCCGCCCCACAAAGCCTCCAGTGTATACAAGGCTGTACTTGTCCCTTATGATCAATACTCAATTTCAAGAAATGGTGTAACGTGGGAGTCAGATTCTTTCATGTGGTGGTGAGAGTCTGGGCCCCTGTGCCACTGACTGTGGTTATGACAAGCCTGCTGGCTGGGCTCAGTGGCAGGAATGGATGTCACCTGCCCCTTCAGGCCCAGGGATGGTTGGTTTCATTGTGCAGATCCTCTGTGTTGACCAGCAGCCCCTCCACACCAACCACACCTGAAAGAATCCAAGCTCCACCACAAAGTTGTCTGGAGTAAACTGGTTTCAAGCTAAATTTTCACAAACTGCTTGTTCCTTACATAGAGAATCCTGAGTGTTTTCATGGAAAATGAATTGACACCTATCAGCTTGGCAGAACTCTTTTACCATTTGTCTAGTTCTTTGACTTACATCATTCTTGGGACAGATTTGCATCAGTTTACAAAAGTTAATCATTGAAGCATTTAAAGTTTTGCCTAAGTGGTTAAAGCATTTGCTCCAAATCAGCAGTGTCTCCTTCTGGCAGGGCTTCATTCTCTTTCCCTGGCAGCTGGAGTCCACACAGAACAGTGTTGCTTCCCTCTGCTCTTTAGCCCGGGGCACCTCCAGTGGTTATATCGCCCTCTGGGTTCATGGATTCAAAAAGGATTTTCCTTCTTGGGTAGAACGAGCTGGAGTTAGGGATGTTAGGGTTACTTTTCTTGTCTCCTATCCTTTCCCCTTAGCTAAACAGACTTTTAGTTGAGAGGAAAATTGATTTTAAGCAAGAAAATATAAATTCTGTCTTCTTTTGTCAAAACAATGACATGAAGATTTCTACAGAGGGAATAAAAAATTCCTTTTTAAATATATTTGTAATTTGCTGGGTTTAATTTAAAGCTTCTTACAGTGCCTCTGTTTTAAATGTTCCATTAGGAGAAATGTGGTTATTTGTGTCCTGGTCACTGAGGCTACTGCATCTTTCAGTTAATTTCATTGCCAAATTTTGCCCACATCATTACATATGGGATTATGGTTTTCTTCCTTTTTTTTTTCTTTTCCCTGTGTGTGTGTGGTGTGTGTTAAGAATTAACAGCCAGGGCTGGAGATATGTGGCTCACTGACAGAGCTCATGCCCAGCATGCATGAGGTCTGGGTTCCATCTCCAGTACCACCAAAAAATATCATATTAAGCATATTAAACTTGAAGGAACATCATGCCTGTCCTAAATATAACTGATATGGAGAAAATAAAACTATCCAACTAGCTCCCAGAGCTCTATTTTGGTGGTCTGACTATCACACAAGTGTTTGTTGCTCTGCAGGGAAAGTAGAACACCAAATGAATTTCAGCAAGACAAAAGCTCCTCTGTTCAGGACCAATGAGATGCAGGCCTATGTGTGCAAACAGCACAGCTGGTGTCAGGGCCAGAGGCCATCACAGGTTTAACAAGTGAACTTCAGCATCTCAGGCTGGAAACATGCACTGTGTCTGTCCTGCCTTGCAGGAAGATCAAGACAGATATGTGAAAACCTTTCATATACTTTCACCTATCATTATGACGAGGGGTGTGTGTGTGTGTGTGTGTGTGTGGGTATATGTATATGTGTGTGTATGTATGTACATACATATGTATGTACCTACATATATAATATATATATGGGGTTTTTTGTTACTGGGGATTGAACCCAGGGGTGCTTAGCCATTAAGCCACATCGTCAGCCCCTTTTTAGATTTTTATTTTAAGACAGGGTCTCACTAAGTTGCTGAAGCTGGCTTTGAACTCGAGATCCTCCTGCCTCAGCCTCCTGAGCTGCTGGGATTACAGGCATGTACCACTGCAGCTGGTACTTAATTCAAATTCTGTGCCTTTTCCCATCACGTTGTTTTAAGTGCAGTAAGCATACACTTACACCATGGCACTGGCAGCCTCCCCATCCCCGTGCAGCAGGGCTGGGTGCATTGTTGGGGTGCAGCTGCAGAGTTCCACACAGAACCGAAAGCAAATGTGAGGCTGCCTCAGGGTGCTTGTTTGTGTGTGGGGGGTAGATTTTCTGAAAAGTTAATAAAATTATTTGGCAGTTGATTGGTTTTGCCTGAGCAATTGATCTTAAAACCAAATATTTTAAAAGTTTAAGCAAGTTTTTTTTTTCCATTGATTTTAACTTGGGGAGCTATATTCACTTCTTTGTAAAAGAAGTCAGACTTTTTCTCTTCGAAAAAAATCTTACCCTGTTTGAGTTTTCCTCATTACATGTCCAGTGTGGAGGTGTGGACATCACAAACATCAAACCACTTCTCTGAAATAGACCTTTTTGGAAATACACCATTAGAAGGAAGCCAGGAATTCTGTTGTTTGTCTTTGTCATTAACTACTTTCCAATAGGCATTGCCTTTGAAAAAGAAAATGGAGCCATGTGCATAGGAATAGTAAGCTGAATCTATATTTCTAAAGGGATGGTTGTGTGGTCTTATTGCTGGAAAAACTTCAGTAATCTTCTTTGGATAAGAATTCAGTACTTGGTTTCTGTTGACATCAAATGCAAATACCTGCAAACAAATTAGAGAGTAAGACTGTTCTGAAGTTCATTGATATTTAGGTTAACTTCAGCAGTGAGTTAATTACATCCAACTGTGCACTGAGTTCTTTAGACCTGAAGTTCTAAATAGTTCTCCACCTAATGATCTGCCACTGCTATTAGACCTGAAGCAAGGAGAACAGCTTTCAACTGAGAATTTTGTTCATTCGACACATCTCAGACGGGAATACAGAAGCAGTGCTACTTACAAAGGACACCTTGAAGAAGTAAATTAGCTGTTGCCTTCTGTCATAAAAGGCAGTGTCCAGGGGACTGGGGATGCCAGGAAACCCTTCTGAAATCAGTTTGGGGTAGCTTCTTCCTTCTTCATCTGTGTGGGCCTGGTCCTTGTCACTGTCATATCTCCAGTATTGATTTCCTGAGTGTCAACCAAAAATACAAATATGGCTTTTAAATCACAGGAAACCTGATGGACAGCCTCCTATACAGGCCTAGCCCATTCTGCATATGCTCTGCCAGATTCCCAGAGAAAGCTGGGCTTGTGGCACCTACTGAAGTCTCAGTGGTTTTCCCAGGTTTTGGATGACTTCTCAATTTGACCCCAATAACGTTTTCTGTACTTGACACTGCTGCAACTAGATTGTTGATGGTGTCTCACAGAGAGCCCTGATCTATTCACATCGTCCTGTTGGCTCTCAAAAATGTGGTCTCTTTCACCTGAGCATCTTGATTTTTTTTTCCTCTTTCATGGTCCAACAATGTCCTTTTGCATGTTAGTGGCCCACGTGTTGGCCCAGAATCACTTTCCTACTCTAATTGATACAAGGTCTCTTAACAGAAGAAATCCCGATGCTTATTCCTGGGTTATACCTTTTCCAGTGTTTTTTAACCATCTGTCTCTCCATCCCCATTTTGCAAATAAGGAAACTGGAGTAGAGCCTCGAAGTGACTTGTGCAAATTCAGAGTCCACCCAGACCCACTATCCTGATAAATAATATACTCCGGTTAATTTTGTTTTAACATTCAAATGCTAATTTAATGCTCTGAAACAGGAGAGGATTATTCTAGGCTTTCCTTTTTAGTTCTTAAAGATATGACCTGTTGTCAGCACACAATAGAATAAATAAATCTGCTGAGTTAGACACATCTGTTTGCACAACTCATGGCGTACTCAAGTAGTGACATCCCTTAGCAACCACACACGCACTACAATTGGCACTGAGATGTCCCAGTGGAGCAGCAATTCACTCTAACTGGGATTTTTTAGAATTTAAAATATTTACAGCAAATTAAAGATGTTTTTAAAGCAGTCCCCCATCATGACCTAATTCTGTACTGACTCCTTGTTGCCAATGTAAGTTCTTTAAAGCACTGAAAAAATCTTGTGTGATATGAAGGGAACTAAAGACCAAATCTAGACATAGGATCCTGATAATAAAGTTTGCATATGACGTTCTCGCAGTTTAGCTCTTGCTTTGTTAACTCTGAGCAGTTTAATGCAGCATAGTTTGGATCACTGAGATTCAAGTTCAAGAGGTACACACAACATTCCTGCAAAGGAAAGAGCAGGAGCCACAACATCACGTTTGGGATTGGATTGCAGCCCACTGGGTTTGCGAAGCAGCGTGTCTGCATGAGCTGGGTGTGGAGATGCTGGACAGGGTGGCTTGTGAATAAGGAGAACAGCAGCAAGACAGCCCCAACCTGCTCTTCACATGGTCACCCCACCCTGGCCGAATCACCTCCTGCAAAACACTGCTCTTCCCTGTTCAGAAATTGATTCCTTGCTACCCGCTGGATGAAGTCCAGACCCTGGTTACTCCATTTGAGGCTCTCCAAGGTCGGACCACCAGTCTTCTCAGAATCTCATCCCATGTGGGTCCCCTGTCCCCCTTCAATGGAGTCCACAGATGAGCCTTTTCCATTCCCCACTCCTGCTGCTTGTCTCTGGCCACTGCACACACCCACACTGCAGTCTGGGTGCCCTCCTCTAGGCATTCCGGATCTCTCCCATCCTTAGTCCAGGGCAAGTCCTGACTTCTGGAATACTAGCATGGATTCCAGGTGGCAGTGGTCACCTCCCTGCTCGGCCTGCCCCCTGGAATTATGCCTGTGTTGCTAGCCTTCCAGGGCATCCTTTTTCCTCCAGAACCAGGTAACAGTGCTTTGTCAACTACTTCAAGTGTCTAGCAAAGTTCTTTACACATCCATTCAGTGACGTTAAGTGCCTTCTTGTAAAAGATCAGGGACACGACCCAACCCCTGTTCCCACAAAGCTCGCAGTCCAATGGGGCAGACTGGAATCAAGCAAGTAATTACCAGAGCATTACAGTAGATTCCATGGTAGGGACTCAGAACATTTATTCTGAATGCATTTCTCTTATTAAGAGAAATGGCGAGGGCTGGGGTTGTGGCTCAGTGGTAGAATGCTTGCCTAACATGTAAAGCACCAGGTTCGATTCTCAGCACTGCATATAAATAAAAAATAAAGTCCATAGACAACTAAAAATATTTTTTTAAAAAAGAGCAATGAGGCCACCCATGAAGAATCTTTACCTTTAAAAAAATAACGTTCGTCTCTTCTCCATGTCCAGATGTGGACGAACGCATCTATCTTTCGTGCTGGGATTCCGTGCCAGCCAGTGAGGATTGGAAGAGGATCCCCATAGCGGGTCCTGTTGTTTCGATTTTCATAAAGCCAGTACCAGCTGTTGCGGAAGAAATAGGTGCTGAACCTCACCATCACCTCACCATATTGGTTTCTCTCTTTGCGAATCCAGTCAAATGCAGTATCAAATGATCCTTCACATGAACCTGAAAAGAAAAATCCGGCCACCTGTCACATGGTACAAATGTCAACTTTCAGGTGTGACTGGATAGAGATAATTGCAAATCTGGGGTTTTCTATTGACACACCTTAAAGCAAGACACCATCTGCTATTAGACGTGGGCTGAGCAGAAACAGGGACCCAGGTTGCCTGCAAGAGTCCAGCCACACGAGTTGCTCATAATGCTCTCAGACTTGGACTGAATGCCAAGTTTTATGACCACCTGATTTCTCTTTTGATGGCCAGTCTGACTTCATTAGAGGAAGGCCCTCTGGTTCTGGGCACACGCTAGAGGAAGAGCTCCACTGGGGAAATAAGTGTGTCCTGGCTTCCATTGTCTCCAAAGGCCCTGAGTGCCAAGAACAGAAACAGGGTGGTCTCCGTGAGGCTCCTTTACATGGGAAGGGGAAGCCTAGCTTTCCTTGCCTTGGGCATCTGTGTTAAATCACTGATCATTTTCATTAAATAATGACCCATAAGTACCTCAGCCTGAACAACTAAATAAAAATTAAAGCTGCCGCTGCAAGCTTAATCAGTTCTTTGCCTTAGAATTGCTAGAAAGCTCCGAGTGGCTTCCCCTTGGTGCTCCTGTGTGATACTGAGGCACAGGTCAGCCTTTCTCCCAGCCAACACAGGCGGCATGTGGAGGAGAGGGCTGGAGGATTGTCCACGGGGAGTGTGCTTTGCCTACCTGTGTCCTTCACCTGTGGCTGCAGTCAGAGCAGGGCCACATTTAACTAAGGAAATTGTCCCGTGGAGTTAGGGGACAAATACTTAGTGGAACTTTGTGCTCCCTGGGGACCTGCCTCTCACTGAGCGGCAAGCAGGGTCCTGGTGTGTCTTGGCACCCTGAGTGTCCTCTGGGAGCTCTGGGGAGAACCGGCCCAAGAGCTGTCTTACCATACAGTCTCTGGATTGCTTTTCTATCTGACCAGTCCAGCTCAAACGCAGGTTTCTGGGGAATGTAATTTGGTTGCATTATGGATCCCATCCTGTAGGTGTGAGGCAGGCCGAGGACATGGCCAATTTCATGGACAGCCACCTAGGAGGGCAACACAAACCATGGGTGCAGGGCCAATCCTGGGCCTTTGAGTACCACTGGGACTGGTCCCTGAATTACAGAGGACAGGCCTGTGCCTCACTGGTGCTGTGCTTTTTCAGGAAAAGGGGAACATGGTGAGAACTAGGAAGCATCCCCAGACCCTCCAGCCACCTCAGGGCATGCACATGCCGTGGTAGGCCCTGGCTTTCAGACTGGGCCCGTGCTGCCTGCCCTTTCCTGCTCAGTAGAGCAGCATGAGCTACTTACTTTGAGGAGGCTGATGCCTGTGTCACTCGTGGGTGGTGTGAAGTGCTCATCATCATCAAAGTGAATATCGCCCAGGTGCCAGGCATGTGCAAACTCCTGTCCGCTCCCATCAAACACCCGAGGACAGCCCAGGTGCCGGCCTGGCAAGGGGACAGAGTGGTTCTGGTGAGTGAGGGGTGCCCATTGCAGATTCCCTACCTAACCAGACAGACTTGACAGCAGTCAGCCTCCAGGAGCTTGCACCAGGGGCAGGAGCGGGCATGGCCACAACTGGGTTAATTGCCGCCAGGAGGAGGAGTGCGAAGCCATGGTCATCTACAAACTCATCATGAAGTACAGACTATAGCAAAGGAGCAGGTTCCAAAGCTGGGAGCAGCAGGGAGAGGAGTGTGGGGACGGGGAGATGGGTGATGTCTGAAGTGCTCACGGAGGGGAGGGCACTGGAACTGGGTCCTGACAGCTGGAAGGTCCCTGAAGGTCGCTGTCCCTTATATGCTTTTTCAACAAGCCGTGCCCCATGCACTCTCACTGAGACACTGATTCAGCAAGACCAGGACAGCCAGGAGCTGCCCTGGTTCACACACGGGGCACAGAGATGTTAGGATATTTGTCCGAATCTTACCAGCTAAGAGTTGGTGGTACCTGTGGGTGACCCTGGCTATCTCCTTACTCAGGTCAATGTTATATACCCATGGCTTCTCCACAGGAGGACCAGGGAGGGCGCGTGTGTGGAGTCTTGGTGGCATACTGAATGCTCCAGGTGAGCAAGCTCCTACAGCTGGCCTGCACCCATGGGCCCACCTCCTCTGAGGGGAGCAGGCTGGCCTTGGTGTCCCCTGTGACCACTCCAGGTGCCCTGCTAGGTGACAGATCCATCCCTTTTCTGGTAAGTTCTAAGATGGTAACATTAATAGAGGGCTTACATCTGCCTCTCCCTGTTGGGTGTCACCTCAGAACAAGCCAGGGAGAGCAGTTGCACCACCTTTCTGCAGGTGACTGAGGCAACCAGGGTGGGACTGACTCCAGGAAGCCCAGTGCCCAGCATGCAGGTGAGGAACCCAGAGGGAAAGGCCGAAGGTGTGTGCTTGCAGAGTGGGCAGGAAGCGTGGGGGGTCCTGAACCTGCCCCTTATTACCTCTCCCAAAACCCAGTTTTATGTCCACTGTGGCCCCAGGAGCAGTGAGATCCTCCCGGAAGTCCAGCGGTGTCACCTCACTCCACATCCTGAAGGCAAGTCTGAAGATGTATCTCTGCTCGTCCACAGAGAGCTGGCTGCTGTAGGCCTCACCCACCAGTCGCCAGGTCAGGGTCTTTTTGGAGAAGGCCCTCAGGGCCCCACTGTCTGAGGAGTCCTCCTGCTGCCCACCTGGCCTGGGTAGCAGCATTTGTAGGAATCGCTTTGATCGGGCCCTGGGCCGTGGGTCTGAAGGGGTCGACAGGGCTGGCAGCCGGGTGTCAGGGACACCACAGCGAGGCCTGTTCATGGCCTCCAGGGTAGCTGCATCCAGCTTCCCACTGGCTGGCAGCGCATTCACTCTCTGGAACCTGCGCACAGCTTCGGCCAGGGTGGGGCCCACAGGGGCTGCTGCTGGCTCCTTGGGGCTGGGACCCCAGGCTGAAGGCCCCTCCGACCAGCCATATCTGGATAAGAACTTCTGTGGGAGAGAAATGCACCCAAGTCCAAGGGGCTGCCACCCGCAGGGCCTTCCCACTGCCCCATGCCTGCCCTGACCAGGGACTATATGACAGAAAGGAGATAGAGGGAGAAGAAAGAGACAGAGGGAGGGAGACAGGGCGTGGAGAGAGTAGCCGAAGGTGAGGGCAGTGTGCAGGGGGTTGGCTGGGCTGGCTGAAATCATGGCACCGTGTGGCCTGAGGAGGGGCAGAATTGGAGCAGGCCGGGTGGGAGTGGGGATGGTAGGAGGAGAGGCATGTCGGGAGATGAGGGGTCAGGACTGGAGGAAGCGCACTGAGGTCATGGGATATAAATAGGGGAGGCTGCAGTGTCTGGCCCAGGTGCTAGAGACTACAAGTGAGGGGCCTGGGAGTGGCAAATTCCACCCCAGCACAGGGAGGGGAGGGAGCACCACAGCCCTTGGTCCTGGCAGCCACAGCAGACCCAGCCAGCCCCCTTCTCAAGACCCTCCACCTTCAGGAACACCAGCTCCAGGGCTTAATGTGGGAGATTCTGATCATCTGCTTGTGGAGTATGGTGACCACTAGGACTGCAGGGTCACGCTCCCTGTCCAACCCATGTCATGAAGAAATCTCATGAGAGCCTTTGTCCAGGTCATGGTGGAGCTCCAGCAGAGTCAATGGATGCCACCCTCAGATGGCTCTGCTGACGATCCTAGATTTTGCAGTAGGGCGTCTTTGCTAGAGCTGCCCCTTTCTCCAGAGAGCGCTCTTCAAACAGTGCCTTAGCCTCTTACTACCTCGCTTGCATTTAGAAAAGCAATGATATTCAAGTCTGTGGTTCTTTTGCACAGGGCAACATTAATCACTGACTAGAGGCTGACCCAGGGGTTGTCAATCAACATTAGGTTGGGTTAGAGTGTGGTTGGTGGTGGAGCGCTTGCTGAGCACGCACAGGGCCCTGGGATCTAGCCCAGCACTGCAAAAACCAATAGTGAACATCAGGTTAAGCACAGAGCCATGTCCTGCTAGAACCATGGAAATCTTGCTCCCCACAAGGTCTGCAGCCATGCCCTGTCTGTGGACACGTGTCCACACATCATGTGCATGTGGACGATGCTACTCTTGGAGTCTTTCTCCTACCTGAGCAGCATGAAGGTCAGTGATGGGCTTGGCCCTGCGCAGCGGGGATGGTTCCAGGTCCGAGCGGTCCCGGCTGTGGAAGAGGGTCTCTGCCTGGGCAGGCCAGGGGACAGCCAGGCAGCTGAGCAACAGTGTCGGACACAAGACAGAGAAAGCCAGCATGGCCCAGCCTGGATTCTGGCCCTCTTGTCTTGCTTTGTCCCCGTCTCTCCTCCTTAATGAGCAGGGCCTGGAACGCTTTTATGAGCAAACAAGTTTTCTCACCCAGTCTCGAAGTGTGCCCTCTGAGAGGCCGCTCAGCAGCCCTGGCAGGCTGCCTTTGAAGACCCCAGGGCCACCCTTCTTGTTAGTATGAGAACTCTCTCCTCATCCTCCTGTGTTTGCCACATCCTCAGGGAATTCCTTCCCCAAGTTGCAGATACCTGAGAATCTCAGCACTCTGGCGATGTGCACGTGGATGAGCACTGCATTCTCCTACCTGAAGTAATATCCGGGAGGGCAGAAGGCATCGTGAGAAGATGAGATCTGGGCACAGAGACAGGAGGGAGGCGTTCCCGTTCGATCTGGCTTGAAGATTGCATTGTAGGCAAGGGGCAAGAGCAAAGGCCCTGCACAGGAACCAGCTGGGCAATTCCGTAGCACTCGGGAAGGAAGGAGACAGCGTGGCTGGACCTGAGTGAAGGGAGGGGAGGGAAGGAGAGCAGGGGATGGTCCAGGGGAAAGACCTGTGTGGCAGGGGAGCTGTTTGGATTTTGTTCTAAATTGCATGGAACTTTTTGGTGGAGTGAGACTAATTCTTAAGGAATCTCCTGAGACTAAATCTTAAGGAATCTCTGTGGAGCTTTGAGACGGGTGGAGCCTGGGTTTCCTAGGTGGAACCTTCCTGGCCCCCTGCACCCTTCTGTGTTGCTCTTATGGCTCTGCAGCCCAGGAACCCTCACCGGGACCCAGGACAGGGGCTTTAGGGGGAAGGGGACTAAGTGCCAGGGGATCTGTTTGTCTCACACTTGATAATTCAGCAGCAAGGCAACACCTGTGACACTGGGAAGGGAAGTGATACTCGTGAGGAGCTTGGACATCTCCAAGATCCATGCACAGCTGTGTTCTGACCAGCAGAGAAGATGGAGCTGGCAGTCCTTCCCACTTTGCTAGCTCTGGCCAAAGTCTGTGCTTCTCAAAGTCAGACCTTAAACCCTGCATGACAGCCATCCCTCCTGGGGATAGGATGGTCTCTCCTAGGGCTTGCTGTGGATTGAATGTTTGTGTCCCCTCCTAAATAAACATTGCAACGTAACCCCCAAAGCAACCCCCAAAGCAAGTGTCAAACTGGAGGGCCTTTCAGGGGCCATTAGGCCAGAAGGGCTCTGCTGTGTGAATGGATTGTTATGCTTATAAAAGAGGCTTCAGAGGGCATTGGTTCTTTGCCCTCCCATCCCTTCTGCATGTGAGGACAAAATTCAAGGCCATCTTGAAGAGGAGACCAGGCCTCCATGAGACACTGAACTTGCTGTCATCTTGATCTTGGATTTCCCAGACTCTAAATTTTTAGTATTTAAAAATTACTAAGGTATTTTGTCATAGCAGCACAAATGCACTAAGACAGAGATCGGAGACTTGAGGAATTCATTCCTAAAGGGTCTTGTTCCTTAAAATTATTTGTGTCTGTGTATGCTGTTGGCTTTGTGCTGCTGTGGATGGCCACACTCAGGCAAGTGTGGCTGAGCATAGGCAGCAGGAGGCATGGGGGAAAGGCTAATCAGCCCAAGTTGGGACACCTTGAAAGCCATGCTTGGGAGTATGGCCAAGAAATTATTTGAAATATTATAAGAATGAGGTCACAAAATTTTTTGGTCCTGGAGGAAACATGAAGCAGGAGACTGCAGCTGTCTTGGTTGCACACTTTTGAACGCGTGTGTGATTTCTTGTGGCACCTCAGTATTTCTAACAAAAGTGAAAAAAGAAGCTCTTCAGGCAAGTTGGTGCTGCTCTGACCTCCTGCACGTGACCTCATCTCATCCAGTTCAGGATTCGTCAATCCCCGGGGTAAGTCTTTTGTGGCACAAGTGATAGACTTGTCTTATCTGTATAGTAGAGCCACATTGAAATCTGCAATATTTTAAGGTTAGTTTCACCATCTCTAGTCCCAGAAGGGGACATTAAACCAGGAGAATAGCCTCAAGACCTCGATGCCTGCCCTTGGCACAGTGGGCTCCTGCATAGCCAAGGATGCCAAGTGGCATCATGGAGGCTCTTGGAGTCTGGTCCCTCGATTTCCTTTGCTGAGGGACCTTAGAGTGCTGCCAGAGTCCTCAGCATGGACTGCTGGAGCTGGGTTCTTCCCCAAGAACAGAAACTTCTGTAGAAAAGGGTTCCTTGACAAAGGGAAGATTGTAAACTTATTCTAGGTTTGACTTTCAAATCAGGAAGGGGGACAGTTCTACCTACGTCTGGGCAGAAAACCAGGGGGCATTACAGTGCCTTCGTTGCAAAATTTCTGTACAAGTGTATATGACAAAATGTTAGAGGCAGGCTAACTTTAGAAATAAAAGAGGTTTATTTAGCTCAGTTCTGGAGTCTAAAAGTCCAAACACATGCCCAGGCTCTTACGAGGACACCCTCATGCTACACTGCCTCAGTCGAATGGCAGGGATGGGAAGCCACGCAGGGAACAAAGACAGGAAGCCAGGGAGGGAGTGGGGTCCTGCAACCCCTTTTGAGGGCACACCCCAGTGGCCTAAGGACCTCCTGCCAGGACCTGGCTCTTGAAGGTTCCATCAGCTCTCACACCATCATACTGGAGACTAAGCTCCTAATACACGAAGCTTTGGGGACACATTCAAACCATGTCAAGTATCAAGTCACAAGTGTGAAGTGTCAAGTCACACTGAGGTCTAGAGATCTGGAGAACCACAGGAGATGTCCTGGCCCTTGTGCTGCATTCATAAATGTCTTTTAAATTTGTCTTTTTTTAATCATTTATTAGCTATGACCTTGAACATGTATTCTCACCTCTTGAAGAGCCTGTTTTTACACCAGAAAAGTAGGAATGATAGCAATGCCCACCCTCCAAGGTTGTTATGAGGACTGTCACAGGCATAAAGCTTTCCCTTTCCTCGGGGCATGGTAGGTGCCCAGCATAAGATCATTCCAACCTGATCTTTCAAGGAGACAAGAATCCCAAGGGCATAGTGACCTTTTCCCACTATAGGCTATTAGAAAACAAATGTGGGTCTCCTTAACCCAGCTCAAATACAGGGCAGTATTAAAGAGTGGAAATAGAGTTTGGAGATAGATTCTCTAGGGACACTACATTTCTAAGTAAATCCAGCCTCTAGATGCCAGGGGCCAGCTGGTCTAACTGAGCAGTGCTGTAGTTACATTTCTGAATGAAAAAAGAAAAAAATTCTATTTGAATCCCAGTTGACCACAGCTCACAAGCAGGAACTTGAAGGTCATTTTTTTTTCATACACAGCAAATTTTATCATTAATACCAGGCTTGTCAGTCAACGGAGGTGGGCATATCTGTTCCCCCCTCTGAACACAGCTTTGCACTGAAAACCACACAGGTTGAGTTGAGACACACACTCGGTGGGCACATGCAGCCAGTGTGCTTTATTTGATTTCCTTCCTGCTGGGCACAGGAAGCTCTTGCACAGTCCAGGAACCACATGCACCTGGCTGGTTTCAAGCTGGCCTTCATGGAGGGCAATGACATGCAAGGAGGCCTGACACTGGCCCCAGGCTGACCCCACCTCCCATCCAGGTGCTTCCGTTCAGGAATGAGGTAGGAGTTTGATGGTGGCAGCTTCTCCAGAGCCGCTATCTGATGTTGCCTTCCCCCATGGGGAAGAAGCCAGGTGGAGAAGGACACATGGGGCCAGGGCCACAGCTGACTCAGCAGCAGCCTTGGGGCTGCAGTGCCTTCCTGATGCCAGCAGCCAGCGCTTGAGGCGTGGGGCTCTGTGCTGTGCAGCTCACAGGCAGGCCCTTGGCAGTCAGAGCGTGGGCTGTGGTGGGGCCAATAGCTGCAAACTGCAAAGAGGGAAGAGACAGAGCCTCAGCCAGCGCCTTTCGGTACATCACGCCTATGAGGGGTAAGCAAATGACAGCACGGCACAGCTCAGCTTTAGTCGGTATAGACCAAAACCACTGATTTGTACACTTTGAAAGTACACATACTGAATTAGTGAAGTAGTGAATGCTATGGTTTGTAATTACATCTCAATAAGAGGTTAAAAACATAAGAAAGGAGAAAGAAACTGCTTGAGACTGGAAACCAGCAAGCAGCCAACACATCTCAGCAGAGCAGCTGTGACAGAAGAGTGGCCAACAGTGGCCAACAGTTGGGTTGCAGAGTGATTTTTCCACCTGAGCTCTTTTCCTCTGTGGGTGCATCAGTGGTCACAGGACAGCACCCTATGGGAGATGCAGTCTTCCCACACTGGCCCTGGGAAGCCCAGTGCTAATGCTCCTTCCCACCGCTGACCACTGATAGGAGCTGAATGTGTCAGTCAGCTCCATGTGGCAGTCAGCAGCCTGCTTCCCAACCAGCTCTGCTACCGCCAGCCTGCGACCTCCAGTCACAGAGGCCACCTCACAGGCTGCGTGTGAGTCAACTGTGAGGGACATGTGGGAACGAGGCAATGCAGTCACTCTGATTAGTTTGTTGGTGGTAGTTGTTATGAATGGCTCACCTACTGCTCTGAAATCACTCCTTTGTGGCATTTACAGACCTGTGTATGGTCTTCCCAAGTCACTGTAAGTAGTGAATTCAGGTCAGAAGTTACCCCCTTGACTTTTTGAGATGACCACATTTTGTGCAGAGCTGTATACAAACAATGGGTCCCACAAAGCTTCCTCGGGAGAGAGGAAGAATACCTTGCATATCTGGGGCCGAGCTGAGGCAGAAAGACCAAGCCACCAACCCACAGGTCTCAGTGCCTGTGAGCCAGTGCTAAGTCCTAGTGATGAAGGAGTCCACAGATGTACACAGACTTCATGGCTCAGGAACAACCCAGGAACTGTTGACAATGTCATCTCTGTTACTTCTCCTTCCCAGCACTGGCAGTGCTGATGGCCCCAGTGACATCTAACTACTCGTACGTGATATGTTGACCTGCAAGGTGACTGTGGTTGCTGAGAACTGGAGGATGTCTGGAGGGGCTGAGAAATGGGCTGTGCCAAATCTAAGTCAGGCACCTTCACCAGGCCCCAGCTGCTGTGTGGTCTTGGATGATGCCAGCAGTAACCTACTCTAAACAGCTTGAGTTTCACTTGAGATTTCAAGGGTCCATTTGTGCTTTTAAACAGGTTTGTTTAGAAAGAGGGTGAAGTGCTAGGGAAGTGCTCTACCACTGAGCCACAACCCCAGCCCTAAAAAAGTGTGAATGGAAATGTCAGGTTCCCCATGAAGCAGACAAACCTCAGGAGCCTGGGTGAGTTCTGTGGCACCTTTCCGTTCAGGTTGCCCAGGATCTCAAAGCCGTGGCATGACTCAGACAGGGTCATTTTCGGGGTCCATGAGAGCAGCAGCATGACATGGAGGGATGAGGACTAGAACTGCGCCAGCGCAGAACAGCTACTGGCCCACTCCAATGTCGTAAGTGCTCATTATGTGCCAGTTACCAACTGAGCATTTTCTGGGTCTTCTTGCTTTCCTCTTTCTAACAGCAAGACTTAGGATTTTTTTCCCTTTTCAGGGACCCACATGTGAGTCTTGGGCCTCCTAGTAATTCATGATACGAGTCGGGCAAATTGTTCAGCTTCTTTGGGCCGTAGTTTCCTTACCTGTGATGAGGACAATTGCCCAAATCTTCCTGGATACCTGGGCCTGGACTGGCTTGAGAATCTCTTGAGCTACACCTAGAAGAGCTTCACCCACCACCCAGCAGCCCTGGGACTACCATGATGTATTACCATGGATGATGCCAGCAGTAACCTACTCTAAACAGCTTGAGTTAATAGCCTGAAACACATCGTCCTGGGTTCCAACTGTGACTCTTCCTAGCGGTGAGATGGAGGGCAGGGCACAGCTCTGACCCTAACACGCCACCTTGAAACTGGAAAAGTAGTCGGGAAGCCCCACAGAAGATGTACCTGTGAAAGGCAGATAAAGCTCCTCATTTCCCTGATGACAGGGAGCACTCAATGGTGCTGGTAGCCTCTTTCCTCAACCCGCTTTGGGCCAATTCAAGGGCAGGTCCTTTATAGACACCACAGGGCTGCGATTGGTTGTGAATTTGTAACAAATACAGTCCCGAAAAAATGTGAATGGACCTTTATTTTATGCATTTATAGGTGGTGCTGAGAATCGAACCCAGTGCCTCACACATGCTAGGGAAGTGCTCTACCACTGAGCCACAACCCCAGCCCTAAAAAAGTGTGAATGGAAATCCTTAACATTAAAAGACATGAAAAAGGGATTTTTTTTTTTAAAGAATAGGTAACTATTTCAAAATGGCTAGTGGCTAGCTGGGAAAGAAAAAGGGAAGAGAAGGATGCCAAAAGTTGCACCAAGCCTAAGCTCAGCACCAAGCTAAGGACTTCACTTGAACTCTCATTAGTCCCGGACTAGTGCTATGCAGGGAAGAACAATGTTTATACAGATAATGTCCACACAGGCCACAAAGAGATAATTATCCCCCTGTTTCAAAGAGTTTTAGCGACCTGGCAGAGCTCCAGCCAGAAAACGGTATTACCTTCCTAACTCTATAGAGCTCTCTGATGGGCATCTGCTAGGCCTGTCCAAGGTGCTGTGACTTAATATGGAAACCTTATCACAATCAGTGAAGATTCAAAAACAAAACAAGCCAGGCCTTGTGGCACACACATGTAACCCCAGCAACTGCAGAGGCTGAGGCAGGAGGACAGCAAGTTCAAGACCAATCTTAGCAATTTAGTGAGACCCTCAGCATCTTAGCAATACCCTGTCTCAAAATAAAAAAAGGACTGGGGATGTATCTCAGTGGTAAAGTACCCATTCAATCCTAGCAGCAAAGAAGGAAAAACAAAAACAAAAATCCCCCAAATACTAATCTTTTGAAAAAGTCCAAAAGCCCATAGAAAAACTATACCTTTATTTGATCAATGCTGTCACCAGACAACTCTTGAATATGCTTGAGACTGTATGTAAGGCCGGAGGGACTGAAGAACGTGATGCTGGCTGGGACACCCTGGGGGAAGAGGAAACAAGACCCATCCTTTGCCAGGAGACTGAGGGGAGACGATGCCCCTGCCCCGGCTCCATCAGCACTAACACCCCAAGCACAGGCATCCAGCAGCTTCAACCAGGAGTAGTTCACAGTTATGTTGTGATTTTTCTGCCCCACAGAGGCAGAATTCTGGTAAGGAACTGTTCAAAGAGCAGGCCGTGATCAGACAGGTGGGTGAACAGGGCCCCTTGGTTGCTCTGCTGGCCCTCAGGGCTGTGTCTGGCCAGAGAACACGGGCACCACAGAGCCCACAGGCCCAGCAGTCTGGACAATGCCCCTAGTGCCTGTGGTCCAATGGCACTGAGTCAGGCTGACTCACTGTCACCTCTACCTCTCCTCTAGTTGGAGCAGACAGCCTGCATGGTCTCTGATTTGGTTTGTCCTGTCAGGACCCCCAGAATCAGGCAAGGCATCAGGAAGCCTGTCCCAGGAGAGCAGAGGTGTCTTCTGAATACAAATGGTAAAGACATCAATCAACTCAGTCTGAGCTGTCCACTTTCCTGCCCTAGGCCTCCCAAAATCAGTACAGACACGACAGAGGGCTCCTCCCAGCATGGGCTCAGCCTCTGCCCCCACATGATGGAAATCAATGGCATCATCAAGGCCACTATGCACCTCAGGCTTGCATATACCTTGAATGCTGTACAAAGAGGTTTGCTTAAGTATCTCCTTATTAATTATCTCCTTATTAATCCTTCCACAAATTTACTAGATAAGTCTATTCCTTTCACAGACCAAAATGGAGTCTTGGAAAGGCCACTTCCTCAAAGTCACTTATCTGGGAACACTGCAACAATGTAGACAATCAGCATCTACAAGTTCATGCCACTCAGCCTGTACTCTCACCATAGGGGCGGGGTGGGGGGCTGTCCTGCCAGGTGTCTCCATGGAAATACCACATACCTGCTTGGAATAGTAGCTGTCCAGGTTCACTTGGATTCCTGGGTGTGGAATCGTCTGATAGACAGTTATGCTTTCCATCTGAATTCCTAGGCACAATCAAAACAAGCAAACAGGAGATGGGGTTTTGGCTCAGTGGTACAGTGCTTGCCTTGCATGTGTGAGGCCATGGGTTCGATCCTCAACAACACAAACAAACAAACAAACAAATAAATAAATAAACGATATCATGTCCATCTACAGCTAAAAAATTATTTAAAAAAAAACACACACACAAGGAAACAGACTTTACTGCCCTAGGAACACGGTGGAACCTCTACCACCCAGTGTGCAGTTGGTAGGGATCTCCCAGTGCAGCACAGTCCTCCTGGAACAAAGAGCTCAGAATTTGAGAGGCAGAACTGAGGGCAAGAGGACCAGCTAGTCCTCTGCAGCCTGCTGAACACTGAGGAGCAGCCCCCACAATGGAGGAGGCCGAGAAAGGATAAAGACCCAAAAACTATAGCCTTTGTTTGTACACACAGGTGCTTTTGCTCCCATGTTTGTGTAAGTTTGACAATACAGGATTGTCTCTGGCCACTCCATGAATTCCACACAGATAGGATGCTTATGCCAGGAAACAAAGCCCAAGGACAGCTCTTGGCAGAGACTATGAGTCAGGAGCTCCAGCTACATCCCAGCTCTGCCTCTCCATGACCATGTGCACCTCCTGGTCTCAAGGTACTATCCCCAGTGATGTGGTCAATGTGCTTTAGTCACCTTTGTCCTTCAGCATTTTTGGCAGGATTTCTCTTTTGAGGTTTCCGCAGGGAAAGAGAAGAGGAAATGCTGGTGACTCTCCTGCAAACACAGAACCAGACTTTAAAAAACTTTGTAAAAATTCAGGGGGCAGGCCTGTGCACAGGGCCTGGGGAGGGCAGCTCCTGGGAGGATGAAGGTGTCCAGGTCTCCAGGACCAGCTCTGCTTCTGGATCTCAGTTCTGGCATCTGTAAGTGGGAAGAGCAACTGCTACCTTGCTGACCTTGAAGACGATTATATGAAGATAATGAGAGGTATGTGGTGAAGGTGCTTAGAAAACCAACATCCTCAGGAAAAAAAGCTGCTATTCTACATACTTCCTGCTCCCTCTGGTCCTGAAGTGGCTCCTGGCCTGTCGGCACTATTTAGAAAACAAGTTTGCAATTTACCTTAGTCAGAAAGGTAAGGATCAGTGGTGTTGGCATTGAGATGATTTTCCACTTCTAGAGGAGGCCTTGGATGGGTCAGGGCTCACACTTAGGAGTCAGCAGGGAACCGGCAGTCAGGGTGCTGTAGCCACTTCCAACAAAGATAGGCTTCCTGTCCACTGCTCTCCTAGCTATGCCAGCAGCCATAAGACCACATGCCCAAAGGGCTTAGAGACAAGATGCTCAGAAGGATCCTGCTTCTCACCACGCCCCTCCACCCCATCTCTATTTTGCAAAGACTGAGGACGTTTTTGGCTCTAAAATCTTTGCAGAATAGCAATGACAGCAGGCAATCTGAATGCTGACCTGCAACATTACTATTCAACAATACTAACGGGCTATAGACACCAGAATCTTCCCCAAATATGAAAAAAAAAAAGGCCTTTTGGTAGAATCAACTGTTTCCCCCCACATCTGTCTACCAGATGCAAGAAATTTTAATGCGTGTTGGTCATTAACAGACATTGCATATTTTTTCTATATCCTTAGGGTCTCCCTGAACACATGTTTTTTGGTGAATAGAGCAAAATAAGCTCTCCCCACCCAGCAGCATCTCCATGAAGCAGCAGCTAAGCAACTAGAACATGTATGTTACTCTAAGTCAGTATGTATAACAGCTTCCTACTGCTGGATGTTTTCTTCATCTATAATACTCTATAAATATCAGTTCCAACATAAAAGAATCAGGAAATTGTTAGGTATTGACCACAGATGCCTGCTAAGTTCTCTTTTCCAGTGTGAAGAAATGATTCCCACACATAGATGCCATGTTCAGGAGCTGTTTTCTTAACCTGGGCCCAGGCATTCCTCCCTGTCTACGTGTGGTGGGACAGCGGGTGCAGGATGCTGGGGGTTACGGCTCTCCATGGGGCAGCAGTGGGAATCCAGTAGCAAAACACGAAGTCTAACTTTCCAGCAAGCCTAGCCCCAAAGGCATGCAAGGGACCTTCAGAAGATTCAAGAATCTCCCCATTGCCATATTTCCTCCAAGGGCCCACTGGAGCACTGAGCTGCTCATTCTTATCCTCTGATTCCTAGATGTCTGGAAGTCCCTCCATTGCACTCAGGAGGCTGGGCTGCAGGGATCCCTGAGGTGAGTGCTTATCTCTCTCACATCACTAGAGGTGTCTGGCCCAGAGTCTGGCTTGCAGGCACTCAGGGCTCCCACAGGTCCAATCAGCTCAGCTGGCTTCACTGTAAAGGCCTGGCCCTACTGACATGATAGAAAGACCTGAGTACGTCCTGGGGAAACTCTTTGTTGTGGAGGGGCCATCTGCTGCAGTTAAATCTCCTGAGCTAGTTCCCCTTGAGGAGTCAAAGACCATCCATTCTTTTTTGGGAAAAGCTTAAAGCCTGTGGACTTGTCTTCAACCTAAACAGGGCAATGCAATAGTAAACTGCTGGTTTCCAATCTGAAGAGACCAACACAATAGCAAAAGCCAACACAGAATGGTGACTGGTACAGTCCAAAGTCTGCCCTCCCTTCCTCTCACAGAAAGGAGGCCTGGCATTCTGGGTTGTCAGGGCTGAAGGGCAACAATGCTGCAAACTTAGGAGAGTGTTATGAAGCTGAAGGTAGCAAACAAAAGGAGATGGGTTTTTTTAATAATGTCATCTCACTGGAGAAAATGTGCCTGTCTGTAAAACTATGACCATCTCCAGGCCTCCAAGAGAGTGCAATCACTGGGCCCTGGATCACAGATAATTGGGATACAGAGATCAGTTGAGGGCATGGAAGAAGAGCCCAGCAAGCCTGCCTGGCTGCAAGGTCTTTACAAGTCCAGGAGGACATTCCACATGAACTGCAGTGCACCGGGATTGAACCCAGGGGTGAGTAACCACTGAGCCACATTTCCAGCCCTTTTTATTTTGAGACAGGGTCTCACTAAGTTGCTTAGGGCTTCACTAGGTTCTGAGGCTGGCTTTGAACTTGTCGATCCTCCTGACTCAGGCTCTCAAGCTGCTGGGATTACAGGTGTGTGCCATCGTGCCTGACTGTAATGCTTTTGACTCTCCCTTTTCTTTCTTTTTCAAGTTATAACTATCCTCCAGACTTTACCATTTAACTTGTAATAATTGCTTTTCCATTAGAATAGAGGACCTGGGAGAGAAAGAGGATTTCCACACATTAATAGATTAAATAATTTATCAGTTTCACATGCTTACAATAGTGCCTGTCTCATGGTAAATCATAGTTAAAATAAATAAGCAATAACTAAGAATCAGACTGTTTACCACAGCATTGGAAGTAGATTTTTTGGCTTTTGAAATTGGTCTTCAAAGTTGGAAGAGAAAATCATTAATGCTTTGGTAAAACCAAGGTGAAGATCCTCATTAGCAGTCAACTTGGATTTTATTTGGATATTGTAATTGCAAATGGAAGATTTATCAGGGCCCCCAGACATGCTGGTGATAAATTAGAGGAAGTTAACAAAGGCTTTGCAAAGAATGCAGACCAGTATCACCCAAGATAAGGGCAGAATGTTTACCAAGCCTGTGTCAGTTAATTGGCATCTCTGCCTTTATATTTCGTCTGTCTCCTCTGCTGCTTTAACCTTTGAGTCAAATTCTACTGCATGTAAACACTTTGATCACTTGAGAAATGTTTCATCCAAAACTCCAATATAGGGTTAACATGATTTAGATTTGCCTAGACTCTCTCTCTCCCTCTCCCCACTTCAAGGCTAAAGACAATACCAGCCACCATGACTGGAAACATCAGACCATGAAAGGTGTGACAAGAGGTGGCACCCAGTTGCTGGAAGATCTCCTCCTATTTTTCTTTATTAGTCCCTCTCTCTCTCTCTTTCTCCCATTATTCCTTTTCTGTATCTATAACTCAACTCCCAGGAATAGAGGAGTTGATCCTCTTCTATTCTTTGGCCACTGATTAAAGCCCTCCTCACTAACACTCATCTCTCAGAGATAGTTTTTCCATAATGAGCTTCCAAACCTGGGTTCAGTAACAAAGATAGTAGACAATTTGAGATACTACTCACAAAATGCCAAGGTGCGCCCAACCAGTTGGCCAGGCTGCAGGGACTTTGCAAGCCCAGGAGAACATCTAACATAAACTACAGTGCAGCCTGCCTTTGGTTCTCTCTTTTCTTTACTTGGCCTTCTTTTGGACACCCACTCTGTGACACTGTGGTGTAATAGGAGATATGCATTTGGCCTTCACCCTGGTTCACAGCTTTTAAAACCCTTGGAACTTCCTGAGTGACCGGGCGTGAGAAGAGTATCTTCCATTATCCAAAGCAAGCTAATGAGGTGTCTCTGGGTGGCCCTAGACAGCTTCAAAATGGATGCTGGTTCCAAAGGAGCCAACCATGTAATCAGAGGATTTTCAGTCCCTCACCCTGATCTCCAAGGAAGAGAAAGGGCCCAGGGACTGAATCAAACACCAATGGTCCATGACTGACAATGAAGCCTACACAGTGGAACCTTTATAACCCACTAACTATGGGTTTGGAGAGCCTCTGGGGCCAGGGAACACGTCCACATGCTGAAGGGTAATGTCCCCCAACCTTGCCAGGAAGAAGCACCTGTGTTTGGTCTTTGCTTTATGTGCCCCTTTTTCTGGCTGTCTACCGGTATGCTTGCATACTTTATAACAGACTCGTTAACGTAAGTGTTCCCCTGAGTTCTGTGAGTCAATTCTAGCAAGTTACTGAGCCTGAGAAGGGAGCTGTGGGAAGCTCTGATCTATAGCCCAGTTGGACAGTCTTGCAAGACTGAGCCCTTAACTGTGGGGTCTGCACTAGCTTTGGGCAGTGCCCAGCTCATATCTGGAGAGTTAGAGAACTGGTGTTTGGCATAAGGAAAAACCTCACATAGCTGGTGTCAGAAGTAGCTTGTGGGTAGAGAGAGATCCCAGGAGTAGCAGTAGCCAAACTAAGACACCAGTTCTGAACGGATGACATCTGCCAGCCTAGGATCTCGAGGAGCGAGGCCCTGGCTTCCTCTTCAATAATATAAAGCAAGAGAAACCTGAGTCTGCGGGTGGATTAGATGCATGGGAAGAGAGAAAGGGAGGTGCAATCTAGAGGAAGGATATGTGCACATCCAATCTCTCCATCCCTTACACTACAAAAGTCTTTGCCCCGCCATCCTTCAAAGGCCTAAAGTTAAAGTTTAATCCTCATATAAATGCAAAATCCCTAGAAACAGCCCCATTCTAAATCCAGGTCTACCTACTGCTGCCCAAAAGTGAGCTTTCTAAAACAGTCAGCTCTTCACCTGGGAGCAAGTTTTAGTGGGAGGGAATTCAGAGAAGGAAGCAGTACCTCAGAGGACGGGAAAGGACAAGATGGAAAAAAGTCTCCATCTGCACCAGCAGCTTCTGCTGTCTTAAAAGTTACAGATGGCCTCTCTGCTGTTCCAGTTGTCAAATATTATATTATGTGTAATGTTCAAGTTGTCTCCAGTCCTTTGGTATAGAAGGAAGTGGACTAAATCCCAAATTAGTACAGCCATACACATATAGCAGGTTATGGTCGGGAGTGGCTTACAAGCTGATTGTCAATCAGCATTACTACTGAGAACACACCAGGAGTATTTTTCCCTAGGTGATGGTTGTGAAAGGTCAAAAACAACACAAATGGGCTTCATTTGGGGTGATATTTTTCTACTTACTGGAACAAATATATTCAGCCAGCTTTTCTGCATTTCCACAGTTTTCTCCTTCTACATCCAGGCCAATTTTACTGACTGGAAAACAACAAAGAAATGTCATTTCTTTAAGTGGTTATTGAAGTCCTTTGATTTCTGTGTTGTTTTTTAGTATGCAAATATACAGACATGCACTTTACAAATCAAAAAGAAAAGTCTCTTCTCAAAGCCAGGTAGGAGGATCACTCAGACATGAAGGACAGATCATGCCCCTCACTCCTGACCTTAAATTTTGGGTAAGGACTTAACTCACTTCTCTGAAATCCACTTGCCTATCTATAAGAGGTGAAATGTCAACCCTATGGGACTGTCTCAAAGATCAAGTGAGATAATGACAGCAAACTACTGGCATCCTGGGAGGAGCCCAATAAAGGTTGTTTTCTTATTCGCCAGTCAGGAGATGGTGAGCATGTAAGAGCTACTGCTTTTTGCAGGAGTCATTAAACAGCCTTCATCTGTGAAGAAGACAAGCCGCATCCAGAGAGGGATTGTGGGCTGACATACCCAGACAGAGATGGAAGGGAGGTCAGGAAGGGGTTCACAGCAATCTAACAACAGGGACCCACACTCTACAAATGTAGGTCATTTAGGGTGAGGGGGTGTCCTTTTTTTTTTTTTTTTTTTTTGAGGCTCATATTCATGAACTGAGTAAGGTGCAGAAGACCAAGGCACTTTTCTTTTTTTTTTTTTTTAAAGTTTTATTGCAACAGAACCATGTTTATTTGTTTATTATTGCCTACTTATTATTGGCTACTTTTGTGCTATAACAGCAGAGTTGATTTTTTTTTTTAAAGAGAGAGGAGAGGGAGAGACAGAGAGAGAGAGAGAGAGAGAGAGAGAGAGAGAATTATTTTAATATTTATTTTTCTTAGTTTTTAGGCGGACACAACATCTTTGTTTGTATGTGGTGCTGAGGATCGAACCCGGGCCGCACGCATGCCAGGCAAGCAGGCTACCGCTTGAGCCACATCCCTAGCCTCCCAAGGCACTTTTCCAGATAGCAAACTGGTGGCTACTCTGCCGAGAATGATGATTGCTGTCTGTGCTCCAGAATGTGGGACTTCTTGGAGAAAAGCGGTGTGGGCATTCCTTTTAGGAGCACAAAAAGGCTGGCCATTAACAAATGAGAGCTTCAGTGTGAATACCATTAGCTTCTAGTTTATGGATGATAAAATCTGCTGAGTCAAAGGGGGAAAATGCCATGCATATGTAAACTGTTCAGGCTGCAGTGTAAACACAGACCCAGTCTCCCACATGTGTGAGTCTTTTTTTTAATATTTATTTTTTAGTTTTAGGTGGACACAATATCTTTATTTTACATTTATATGGTGCTGAGGATCGAACCCAGTGCCTCATGCATGCCAGGCGAGCACTCTACCATTGAGCCACAACCCCAGCCCTGTTTGGGTCTTATAGGGCTCAATGCACAAAGGAATCCTAAAAAACCCTAGGAACAGAAGAGAAACCTGAGAATTTCCCCTAAGATTGTAACTTAACACAGCAGATCTGTTCCCTTGCTCTGTCACGGTGTCCTTAAGGAGCGCCAGGCAATAATGAAGGTTCTTTTACTGAAAGATGTAAGGGAGGATTATTGTTGTACTGGAGATTGAACCCGGGGCTTGTGCATACTAGTCAAGCACTCTACCACTGAGTTACATCCTCATCACTTTATAAAAATTTTGGGGCAGGGTGCCACTACGTTGCCTAGACTGACCTTTAACCTGGGAGCCTCCTGCCTTGGCCTCCCAGGTAACTGGGATTACAAACATGTGCCACCATGCCTTGCTATTGTTAACCATTATTGTCTAATTTATAAATTAAATTTCATTATAGGTATGTACATATAGGAAAAAATATAACCTATGTAGGGTGGGTACTATCTGAGTTTTCAGGCTTCTATTGGTGGTGGTGGATCATATTCCTATGGTGCAGGGGACTATTGTATTGACATCAATATACATTTTTCCCTTAAGTACTAAGACAATGGGAACCATGCCTAGAATACTAATGCACATATACTTTGCTGTCTATAAAGTCAGCACTTGCTCATTTGATTCCTACTACAACACTGTGAACAAGACAATTACTCCTGTACTTGAGAGAGGAGGAAGCTGGGGGTCTGAGCAGTTAGTGGCTCTAGCTTTGTCTGCAAGGCCAAGGACTGGGAATATTTAGTCTGTCCTGAAGCCTACAAAGACTCTCAAATAATGTTCGGAGAATGTGTGTTTGGTCTAGGGCCTCAGCCCTGGGTGTAGAAAGGCTGGATCTGCTCCAACTCAGTTCAAGTGCTTTAACCAACACTTGGGCCTGAACAAGTCCATCTGAAGGGCCTTCCCCAGTCAATGGCTGACAGAGAAACTGCAGATTATCTAAAGTTGCATTAAATAAATAATAAATCCCACCAATCATGGACAAACCTGATGTAGAATATTTTAACAATTGAGACATTAGGATATTGCCACAATGGATCAAAGTTTTTAGACTCGTGTAAACCTGTGGAGTGAAATCTGCCAGTTGATGCCTATACTGAAAAAGTGCCATTTGGAAAATCAGAAGGTAAAATGAAATCCATGGTGAAAAATCGAAATTGATCAAGAAATGATATTTGAAGATATTAACAAGGTTATGGGTAAGACCGTTAAAAATCTTTTCAACATTTATGAGAAACCATGGAAATGTAAATTATATCTATAGAAATATAATGGCTTAAAGTGGTAAAACATCAGTATGCTGATGCAGTGGGGTATGGTGCTTTTGGAAAAATTTTGTCACAGATCAAACTGGTCAGCCAATGACTCTCTTTGTTTGTGACCCTGGCAAATAATATCCTCCTCCTTAGGCTCAGTTGTTTCATTTTATTTAAATTTATTAAAGAATTTCTTTTGAGAAACCATGGCATGGTTCCTGGTGGATAACAGAAACTCCAAACAGTAGGTGTCATGAATGATATTAATAACTGTAGATGACAATGTGTTCAAAAAGTGTAAATATATATGTTTTTCTCAGTTCTGAATTGTTATTGCAAAGTTGTCGCCCAGGAGGTCACTGGTCTGGGTTTATAAAACCAAGCAGCAGTGGCCACATGTAGCTCTCAGGTACCAACCCTGCAGTCAGAAGAGGGTGGTGGGCACCCTACCTTTGGGCAGCCAGATGGAAGGTGTTCCTTGGGATAGGGGCTGAGTTACAGTGTATCAGCCCACAAGCCAACTAACCCTGATTCTTTAAAAAACCCACAAACTTAAGATAAATAAATTATTAAAACCTCTTCTCAGGATATTTTATGCAGACCAAATGCAAAGTTACACAGCATATATTTTCCCTCAAGCAATTATATCTGCAAATTTGAAGTTAAGTTGTAACATTTGTGAAGAAATATTGACATCTTCTCTCCCTGGATTTCAACACTGAGAAGGGCTGCACTGGATCATGCAGTTGACCAGTCACTCAGCTGTTCTAGGTCTCAAGACAATTTGCTCATTTTCATTTCATTTGACAGAATGGAAGAGCAAAATGCATAGTGATGCTGCTAAAGTCAAACTGAAGGATACGTGATAGCTCAAAATCTTTATCAGCTAATGTGCAGAAATCTGACTTTAGAGTATAAAAATCCAAGTTGGAAAAATTATAACTATAATGTGTATGGAATAGTTGAGTGGGGTAGATGAATTAGTCAGATTTTCATCACTGTGACCCAAACACCTAAACCACTTAGAGGAAGAAAGATTTATTTTGGCTCATGGTTTCAGAAGTTTCAGCCCATGGACTTAAGGTGAGGCAGAGCTTCATGGTGGAAGAGTGTGGTGGAGGAAAAGCTGCTCAGTTCATGTCAGCCTGAAAGCAGAGAGAAAGGGGATGGGAAAAGACATAGGCCCCAAGGAACCACTCCCTCCAACTAGATTCCACCACCTCTCAATAGACTACGCAGATTATTAATTCTTCAGCGGACTAATCCACTGTTGAAGTCACAACCCTCAAGATGCAATTGCTTCCCCAAAGCCCCACCTCTCAACACTGTTGCACTGGGGACCCAAGTCTTCATCATATAAGCCTTTGGGGGACATCCAGAAACCATAAGAGGACACAAGTCAGAAACTGCCTGTATTATTTTTTTTCCTCTTCTCATTAAAAAAAAAAAAAACAGTAAAGTAAAAGCAATTTCTTATTTTGGAGAACTGACATGGAGAGTGGAGGTGGTTCCTTTGGCAACTAAGCACTGAGTCCCTCACCTGGTTGACTTGCTGAGCTTGTGGCAAGTTATCAGCACACAAGATCCAGGAGTTATCTCTAATTAGTCTAACAACTTTCAACCCATTTCGTCCCTAATCTCATTTTGTTCTCTGGAAAATGTACTAATTTCATTCATACCACAATATTTCCTCCAATATTTTTAAACTCATTTGGACAAATGAACTATTTTGAAACTAAGTTATAGGTTAATTTATTTGCTTCTGGTCAGCATTGTTCTAAATATTTAAAGTGTTATAATATTAACTCTCAACAATTCACTCTATGTGTGTTAGAGAACTAATAAACCACTACATGGAGATTACTATTTTAGCCATTTCTTCAAAGAATAATTCATTGGCATTGAGTACATTCACAATGGAATTCATGGGTCAAAGTTTACGAATATTTAAATAAAACTTTTGAATATGTACTGATCAAGAATTTCTTAAAAGATGTACCAGTTTTTAATGTCACTTAGAAATGTTTTAATATATTTATTTCACTGCACCCTATCAGTAGCATTAAATATTTAACTAATTAATAACTTTCTGCAATTTTGTAAATAAAAACATTTAAAAACTGAATTGATGTATTTTACAAAAATAAAGAAGGCTAAACCATTTGGGGCACTTTATTTTTACCTGACTTCCTTACCTAGAGAAGCGGTAGCATTTCCAACCACATACACTGACTTGGCATTCCATTTTTCTTTCAGAGACTTTTCCCAGACTGCAAAATATTAAATTAAATTTGATTTGTAAGTACCAAAGTTTTGGATTGCTGCCCAAGGTTGCTTAAGTTTTGGATTGCTGCCCAAGGTTGTTTGTTCACCCGAAGAAACTCATGAGCAAAGCAAACTATTAATAACCAAATGTGAAAGAACAGCATCTCAAACTAAAATTCCATTTTCCTGTTGTTCATATCCTGCAGGGTGTTTTAAAAATCACTTAGGTAAATGTTTCAATATGACTGCTTGAAATAACAATTTCCACAATTGGCACCGAAGCATTTTTTAACATGTACTAGAAAATAAACATAACTTAAAGAATCAATCTGCATGGTGAGATTAAAATTTTAAAAAATCTAGACTTTTAAAGAAAACGTACTGGTCATTAAAAAATGACATTATTATTAGACTTAAATGTGTAATAAATCAATAGTTATGTTTTATTTGGGAAATAAATTTGAAAGTGATCAACAAAATATAATCTCAAATGAAAGGGTTCATTTACCCATGGTTCAAAGTAGAAATAATAAATTTCACTTTCATTAATAAACACAATATAAAAATACAGTAAACTACCATTTTATGACAAGGAAAGATCTTTTAAAAATGGATTAAGGACATACAAAAAGAAAATGGATCGTATGTATACATATTATATGGCCACTGTGGTTTCAAAACATTTTAAGAAGACAAATAATAGTTTTTTTTTGTCCTAAAATCTAGTAAGAGCATAATTTTCCCCTAAATTCACCAGTGTTATGATGAATTTACTTTTTATATCCCAAAGGAAATTCCTTTTTAAACAACAACTCAAAATTGAGTTTTACCTTTTTTCCTACCCTACAAGTGTAAGAATATTTATTGGGAAATTATCCATAGCAGGGTAACAAAGTGCTTCTCAAGGTTTGCAGCAGAATAGTGATGGAGTGAGCACACTGATGGGTAGAGAAGCCTCGCTGCAGAGCTAGCTCTGCCCCTTCAGCAGCTGTGGAACCCCGGCTAGTCGGCAGCCCCCCAACCCTCATCTTCTGTTTCTTCATTAAGCTAAAAGGGATTAATGTATTGGTCCTATCACATACCATTGTCATGAGAATCAAAATAAAAACATGTATGGGAAATGCTTTTTAAACTGCAAAGCATGACAAAGTTGCAGGACTCTGGGGTTTTCTCCTTTCTTATAACTTTCTCCTTCTAAGCACATACAAATGGAAAAATACAACTGTAGGACAAGGCACCCCAAACCCCACTGGGGGCAGTGACAGGCTCTCTCTTCAGCAGGAGGCCCATATGTGTACAGGTCTGTAGCAAGCCCAGCTTGTGGAGACAATGACAATCCATTACCACGTGACTCATGATGACTATTCCAGGCAACCTCCTGGATGCCTTCTCTGGGACTTGGACTCTTGCAAGAGTCACAAACATGCAACTTAAGATTGTGCACTGCATTCCTTGTTCTTCAGGTTCCTCATCTGTCAAGTGGAACTACCAGTCCACCTCACAGGGTAAAGACCAAGGACAGCAAGTGGCACAAAGTGGTAAGTTCCAGCTAGTGAGGAGTAGAAGAGTACTACTGTGGTGTGAGGACTACTAGGCCTGCTCAAAGGCAAGAGACCTGACAAGCAGAGAGGTCAAGGAGCTCACCAAGCTCAGGATGACTGCACTCCAAAGCCCTGGGCCAACCACTCTCCCTGCTGTCACTCTCTCAAGCCTCTGCATTGTGAGCTCTAAAGTGAGACTGTGGTATTGTATGACTTGGGTTGTTGTCTGGGTTCAGTGAGATAATGAATTGAAGTATTTCACACAGAGCCTGATGCACAACAGGCACTCCATACATGTTAGCTAGGAGGTTGTTCAGCAGCAGTTATGAATAAGGTGGCTGTTCAGTCTGCACCCCAGCATTCAGTGAAAGGGCTGTGCCTTTTTATACTATTGATCGAAAGAAAGGGAAGGAGAAAGGGAGAAGGGTCAAGGAGATGGCCGGTCATCAAAGGCCTGACAGGGCATTGAAGATTTTCTCATACATTGCCAAGTTTTCTCATCATTCCTTTGAGAAAAGTGGTATTTATCATATTTTCAGAGGAAGAAATTGGCATTCATATGTTCTGAGGAGATACAAATGCCCAGCAAGCTGCGGAGGCACCCTGTCTGCTGCCTTCCAAGAAACATTTGGGACCCAGCACCACCTTGCACACATCTCTGTCAGGGCTCAGCTACTTCTGTCTTTAGTGTCTCAGTGGGAGAAACAGAGTAAATAAAAGCCCAGTGGAATCCAGATCAGACCCACCCTCACCTTCAGTTTTATTGTCTTTCTTCAAACATAATTCCACTGCTTCCACTGCTCTGGGGCTGGTAAAAATGAGTCCCCCGTAACATTCTGGATGAGACAGCTGCACATCAGAAAGCAATAAAGGCATTTTGTATGATAGCTTAAGTTCAACATCTCCTATGGAGCTATGTGACCCAGAATTCTAAATGCTTCCCAGAAGTAGCAGACAAGCTAATTCTTTTCACCCATCCACCACCCCCAACACTTACTGAGGGCTTACTCTGGGCCTGGAACTATTCTAGGCCTTTTAGGATGTACAGGTGAATTACCATAGTACTTCCCTCAAGAAGCTCACAGTATAGGAGACAGACAAGTGCAACTCAGGAGATTGTAGCAGAGGGGGCAGGACCCAGCCTGGGAATGGCTGAGGTGCAGGAAGAGGGCAGACTTTATCTGTGTCTTAATGCAACTGCAATATTCAGGAGGTGATGCCTATACTGAAGACCTAAATTTTAAAACTAGTAATGGTGATATAATGCACTAAAAGTTAACTCCGAGGCAGGCACTGGGCTGTTGTACAGATCTGGTATCACTTAAACTGTAGGTACTGAATCTGTTGTTATGTCTTTTGTAGTGCTGGGCATCAACCTGAGGGCCTTGTACATGCTACCCCTCTACCACTGAACTACATCTCCAGCCTAAAGGCTTTAATCTGAAACATCTGGAAGACTTTACTGGGTATGTCTCCTGCAATATTTATTACTCCTGCACTTGGATGCAAAGCTGAAATGGTAGACAGAGCCCTGGGTTTGAGTTCTAGGTCTATCTTTGGCCGGCTGGAGGTCTCATTCTCTAAAATGGGGAAAATACCTGTCTGGTCTGCTATATAGAGGTCTTTCAGAGGAGAATATGAACAGAAGATTCTAGAATTCTGAGAACCACAAAGGTATGGTGCTCTCATAGGCCCTGTTCTTCCTGGCCTACCTCTGGTTATGGGTGGCTTCCTAGAGGAACCAGGGGAGGCTTGGTGAGAGAAGCCCAGGACGAAGCCTCCTGGAGCCCGGTGTGCCGTCCTTGTGTTCAAATCTGGTGGTAGAATAAGGGGCTAGGAAAATGGCTCAGGCTGGCCAGTTTCTAGAGACCAAACACTAACAGGGAGTTCAGACAAGACAAGTCTTACCTTCTCAGAAAAACTTGGAAGAGATAAAAACTCAAAGGATAAAACAGGGATCAATGTGGCTTCAAGTCCATACAATGCTAATTCCTGCAAATGAAAAAATAGTTCTGGATTGGCAGGGGCTATTCTGAAATAAAGGGAATGGATAGTATCATTAACTTTATTCTGTGTCAAGTATGAGTGTTAGCAGCTCCCCTCCACCACCCCAGCTCCAGGCCCTTGATTCCTTTAGCAAGAAATCTCCAGTTTAGGGGACAATGAATCTTGGGCCACTTACCCTGATGTATGGATCCTGGCCACAATCGTCCTCCTTTGCATCTTTCAGTAAAAGAACCTTCATTATTGCCTGGTGCTCCTTATGGGCACTATGACAAAGTAAGGGAAGAGATCTTACTTGGATCTCAAAGAATTTCCCTAAGCAAGACTAGATGGGGGCAGCATGAAAAGGAGGTGATTAACTGCTCGCTGGAGAGATCTGTTCTGCCCACACAGTGACTTGGCGTTAATGGGCTTGCTCTTCCTGAAGACCCCTGTCACTGATAAGGCCAAGGGAGGGCATGTTAGCAGTTGATATCACTTGCAAAGGCAAATGAAAGCCATCAGTGAAAGTCAAGTGTCCCATGTCAGTGGCTCACCATAAAAAAATGCAAACTCTGGGGTGTATCTATAACAAATAGAGAAATGAGCATCTTACATTTATGAAGGTAAATTCATAATTATTTCCATTTCAAGACAAATATACTACGCAGCTTATAAGTACTTTAGGAAATGACTGCATTGGCTTTTGCACTTCTCAAATGATGTTTATAAATGTTGTCAAGTAAAAGGAGATAATTTAGCAGCCTGAAGAATTATTTGTAGACATTTAAAGTCTTACAGACTTCATAATCTTTCTTCCTGTAATTTCACTTCTAAGAAGATAAACCCAGATGATACTCATAAATGTGTACAAAGAAAGATTGTTTAACAAAGATTTCATCATCCCACAAATAGCACTAGACCCACAAGTTCCTTAAATGTTGTGCAGTGATTGGTGAGACCGAATAGAGTACACTGTGTGAAGTAGAAGTGTGTTAACTCTGAGAGCCACTAATTATAAATGACTACTAATTATATTACTGGAATATTGGACTATTTACAGGACATTTTAGGAAAATTTGGTTCAAAATGAATTGCTTTGTGTTTAAGCAACCAAACCTAGGTGAATATATTATTATGAAATCAAGTTCTAATTATTGTTGCTGTCCAGGTGTTAAGATTGAGGATGTAAGGAAATGGGCAGTATTTCCTCAAGTTCTCAAAATGTGTCTGACAGAAATTCAGAGCCCAGTTTTCTGTGATGGTCTCTTTTATATGTCACCTTAGCTGGTTATAGTTTCTGGTTATTTACAAGTGTTAATCTAGGTGTTGCTGTGAAGGTATATTGGAAATACAGTGCATCACCAAAGGCTTTCCATGGGCAAGAGCTCTACCACTGAGCTATACCCGCAGTCTTTTATTTTTTTACAGTGCTGAGGATTGAGCCCTGGGCATCTAGTATACTAGGCGTACCTCTGCCACTGAGCTCACCCTCAGCCCTCTTCCTGTTTCTTTATGGAAACAGTGTAAGGAGGGAATCATGGTGTCACAGAACAAGCATAGGATTAAGGGCTAAGGGACATGGTCTCTGGTCCCTGCTTTATGACTTACCATGGTTTGACCATGTTTTCTCCTGTGTTAAGCTGGAATAACCTCTGCCCTAGCCATAGGACTGCTGAAACAGCTAGCACATTTGTTGCACATGCCAGGCTTTACATGCATTCAATCGATGAGGTTTATGCAGAAGTTGAGGTACACTTGTCCTGTTTCGGAACGGCTAAGTGGCAGCTGGGGGTCATACCCCAAATTCTGTGTTTTAACTCCCCTGCTGTATCTGCCTCTTATAAACTTGGCAAATGAAAATGTTTAGGAAAGACAAAGGTATGAAGATATAAAGTTATCACTATAGTACCAAGTACTTCATTTAACTATAAAACATGTGAAAGCCAAATCAATTTATCCACTGCTAGCAGAAAAATATTCCTTCTGAGTTCTCTTCTGGTTTTCTTAGGATAAAACCATGTTAGCAAGAAGCTTGAGCTTTCAGATAGTAACTATTCCTCACATGTGCTGTAAGACTCAACAAATAGAAATCAAATTACTACCCTTATCCCTCTCCTGCCACTCCAGTATAAAATTAAGGGGACCTGTTGCTGGTGATGCTCTGCTGTGCTGGAGTCCCATAAGTAAGCTGAGAAGTCCAGGATAAGCACATGTTGTCAGGTGAATAAACAGGCTGCACTCTGAACTTGAGGTAGAGGGCAGTGGAGGAGGAGCTTTCCCAGGAGGGCTGAGGCTTGGGTTCTGGTCTAGGCTGCTTTTTTTTTTTTTTTTCCCTTTAGTACTAGGGATTGAACTCATGAGTGCTCTACCACTAAGCTACATCCCAGCCTCTTTTATTTAAAAAAATTCATTTTCAGACTCTAGTCTTGCTGAGTTGCCAATGCTGACCTCAAACTTGGAACTCTCCTGCCTTAGCCTCCTGAGCGCTGAAATTCCAGCTGTGTGCCACTGAGCCCAGCTCAGGCTGTTCTTCTTTTAGTTCCTTCATCTATGAAATTGGCTGGAGGATTCTCAGTGGCTGGATTTTCTGAGGGCCCTTCTTTCCCACAGTAGATGCTCAATACTTTTTCACACTGTGGGAAAACACTTTTAACTTTACCCAGCATTTCTGAAACAAGAAATGGTTGCTTAAAGAACTAGGAAAGTGACTGGATTAAGATGGTTTCACAGGTAAGAACGAAGCCCCAAACACTTTGTGTGTCCTGCTACTCTTTGTATCAGCAGTTACAACAGCTGCCCTTTATTGAGTACTTAGTGTTATTTACTATGAGGGTTCTGCAGAGAAACAAAACCAACAGGATATATCTGTATCTACAAAGAAATGTAGGAGAAACTTGCTCATGTGATTACAGAGGCTGAGGAGTCCCACAAATTGTTATTTGCAAGAGTGAAAAGAAAAATTTTGAGATGTCTTAAAGTGACCCAATCCAACAGATGTTCTACATTCCTGAATTATATTAAAAACTTGAGTTAAAACCTCTGGGAGCTGACCCCAGGCACCACCAACCTCTCTGGCTTCTGGATAGACTTTCTGGACTACTAACCCCAACCAATCCAGAAGTTAACAAGAACTTTTCCTTATGGAATGCCCTCCTATCCCACATTTCCTTTCTCACTTCATGTGAGTCCCACCCCTTTTATTTATAGCCAACATAAATTCACTGGAAACAACTTTATGATTTCGTTCCCCAAATCTTCATTAATAAGTGATTTGGGCTTTTGTGGATATTTTTTTCCGGTTGCTACCTAGCCTTGCTGTGGTAACTGTGGCACTCATCCAGGATTCGGTCCCTTTCTGGCTAGCATCTGTAGCAGCTCAATATGTATATATATATATATTTTTTAAAAGAGAATTCTTGGTCTAGAGACTCAAGAAAGCTAGTGATGTAGTATGAAGGACTGAGGTCAGATGGAGTAGTTTCCAGTCCAAGTCTGAAGGCCTGGGAACCAGGAGCACCAAGGGCAGATGAAGGACAGGGGCAAATTCTCCTTCTCCCTCGCCTTTTATTTTCTATTCAGGCCCTCAATGGAGTAGGCCCACCCACTTTGGGAAGAACAATGCACTTTACTCAGTCAGTGGATTCAAACACTAATCTTCTAAAAATTCCCTCACAGACTCACATTGAAATAATCTAATATATCTGGGCATCCCTTCATCAAGTCCAGCTGACACATAAAATTAACTTATTAGCTATCATACTGGGCTTATTATATAAGCATTTTACATGCAAGACTAAAATCCTCATTTAAGTCTGCAATGTAGATATCATCATCCATATACTAAAGGACAGAAGAAAAAGGCTCTGCAAAGTTTGAGGCACTTGTCCATGATCACACAGATTGTAAATGACAGTCTGAATCCAAGCCTGAAGCTAATCACTCTAGATTGCCTTTCTACTCTTTTAAGGCAAATTCTGTACTAAATAGAAAGATTAAGACAGTGGTAATCAATTCATTCCCGAACTAAGGATGTCCCCTGGGATCTGTAATATATTTTTCTTGACTATCAAAACCATAGGTGAGCCATTTATTCACATTTGCTACTCTAATTCATATTCTGACCATGATTTTGAGATTAGGAACCAATCTGGGGTTACTCTCTTCTTTTAGCAACTCATTGTGAAAGTTTTGCACACACACAAAAGCAAAGTTTCTCAAAAAAATTAACAAACCATATGATCCATCAGTTGTTACATACCCCCAAAGAATTGAAAGTAGGAGCTTGAGGAGATGGTTTTATACTCATGTTCATAGCAGAATTATTTAAATAACTAAAATGGTGTCCATCAACTGTCAGTTGACAAACAAAATGTAATATATACACACAATGCGATGTTTTATTATTCAGTCATAACAAGGAAGGAAGACTACTATATGATTACGAAGACTAACACGAAGACTACTATATGATTCCAATTAAAAACAATACAAAGAGGACTGGGGGTGTAGCTCAGTGGGTAGAGTGCTTGCCTATCATGTACAAGGTCATCCTGGGTTCAATACGAAGCAATGCAAAAACAAACAACAACAACAACAAACCAAGCAGGGAAATTACCCATAATGTCTCAGTGTCACACTATTGTCATGTTTGCACCGTGTATTTTAAGTCTAAGTCTCTTTTCTAATTTTAGCCTTTTTGAAAGGTGCACATTATAGGATTCTGGCACAACTGTGTGGCCCAATCGGGCCACTTCAAGCTACTCCGTCAGATGTGCAGCCCTGATTTTTAAGTATATTAACATTCATCACATGGCCTGGTGGGCACCATCATGAGGACTCTGAACTAATGGAGACCTTTAGGGTATACTGACTTTTACTGAAGAACTACTGACAAGAAGTTCCCATGCTTCTACATAAACCTCTTACACAATGACCACCTTACTTCTAAGGACAGCTCATTCTGTTTTTCGAAACACATCTGGCATTCGTTTTCAGTATAAGAAAATGGATAATTCTCAAAAAGCTGATGGCTTCCCTAATTAAAGATCTTCTTTCATATAGCCTTTATAAGGACCTGAAAATTGCTACCCTGAGCGATAATCCTGACTGGTGGACGCAATTTATTTGGTAGTGTTTTTTTCTTTTTAATGAATTTGGATTCCAATATTTTTATCGGTCCATTGTAGTTATGCATAATAGTGAGGTTTGTTGTTACATGTTCACACGTGCACACGAAATAGCAATATAATTCGGTCAACAACGTCGCCAGTATTTCTCCTTTCCCTGCCCACCCTGGTCCCCTTCCTCTTTATTGGTCTCCCTCTCATTTTCACGATTGGCTTTAACGATCTTATTTCTTGTAAACGTCCGGAACTCCAGCTTCTCTCGAACTAGACACGTGACAACCCGGACCAGTACTTCCACCTGCGCACTGGCGGCCGCTGAGGGGTACCTCTCCTGTTTGTCACAGGCTCAGGCCGTCAATTCGGATCACGTGACCGGCGCCGAGGCACGGAAGGTGGTCTAGCCTGCTCTCAAAGGGCTTCCAGGAGCCTGGCCGGCCGGCCCCACATAGCCAAGGCCCGCATGCCCGTGTCTTCCTTGGCACCCTGGGCAGCGACACCTACCTCGCGGGCCCCGCGAGGCCCCAGGGCTGAGAAGCGGGAGCCCGCCCAGCGCCACGCGCCGCACTCGGCCAACACCGGTGGGAGGCGGGACCCCGCGGTCCCAGCGAAGGGGCTCAGGGAGACTGGCAACAGAGTGGGCGCCCCAGGGAACTCAACACCTCAGCACCAGCCCCCGGTCCACCGCAGTGCACAGGTGAGCGGCCGCGCGTGCGCACCGGCGTCCAGGCCGGCGGAAGGAAACCAGCCGGATGGGTCGAACCACTGAGCGACAGGGGTAGCCTTGGAGGGACTGATGAGGGAGGGAGGAAGAATGAGAAATAAAGGGCCAGGCTGGGATTTATGATGGATGTGACTCCGGAAGATCACGGCTGTGAGTCCAGAAGGGTCTCTGGTGTTCATTCAAGTCCAGTTAGCGCCGAGGGGCTTCGTGGTCCCCCACCCCCTCGGCCAGTATGTGTCGGCCCGGAAGGGCGGGCCGTAGATCTTGCGCAGGCGCAGTGTGGACGGCAGCATGGCGTCCCGGGCCAAACGACGGGCCTTGGGGAAAGGAGCCCCGCGGCCTCCCGGAGACCCCGTCCGGCACGACGAAGAAGAAGGGGAGGATGAAGTCGAGGATGAAGACGAAGACGATGAGGATAGTGACGAAGAAGAGGACGAAGACGACGAGGTCCTTGACGAGGTGAGAAGCACGCGCGACCCCCGTGATTAAAAACTCCCTGCCCACCAGAGCAGGGTGAAGAGCGTGTGAGCTGCGTGGACTGGTGACGTCCCTGTCCCTAGGCTCGGCAGGCAGAAACGGGGGGCCAGGTGCTTGTGGAGTTCCAGTCCAGCCCTTCCTACGCTGCCATCGTGGCGACGGTTCCGAGCTCCTCCTCGCCGCTTAGCCGCCTCTCCCCTGCGTCCGCCCCCCTCTTGGTCCTTGAACTTCCCGCGCTGTTGTTCCAGTCTTTCCAGAGGCTCTTAGTCGTGCAGTTCTCCTTCGTGTTCGGAGCTCGACTAAGCGGCATTTTCTGCCTCTTTGGTTCTTTTCTTTTTTTGGTACTGGGGATTGAACTCGGGGCAGTCAACCACTGAGCCACATCCCCAGCCCTATTTTGTATTTTATTTAGACTCAGGGTCTCACCGAGTTACTTAGCGCCTGGATGTCGCTGAGGCTGGCTTTGAACCCATTATCCTACTGTCTCAGCCTCCCCAGCCGCTGGCATTACAGGCGTGTACCACCGCGCCAGGCCATTTTCTGCCTTTTTGGGACAGCTGACCCGGTCAGATGGTTTAGCCTTATGAACTCGGAACTGGGTTCCTTTCCTAGTGCCCAATATTATAGATATTTATTCGTTGAGTGAATAATGAATAAGACTACTGAATGTCTAAGCAGGTGCATCAAACTTAACTATCAGTTTGTAATTCATGCCTCCCTCACCTAATCTTCAGCATTCTGTAAATGGCCCTAAATTGACCAGTTTCTCACACATCAAATCTAGGAGTTAACTCAAATCTCCTGTCTTTCCTCATTGCACATCCAGTCTATCAGTAAATTCTTAAGTGTCCAGACACTTCTCATTGATTTTGTAACCATCTTGGTCCACACTGCCATCAAATCTTGCCTGGACTACTGTAATATAATAACTGACTTGCCTTTTCCATTCTTGTTCCTTTATGGACTATCTGCTTACAGCTGGAGATCTTGTAGGTCTGTTCTCATTCTTTTGCTCAGAATACTCCTGTGACTTCCTATTTTATTTATTAAAAAAAAAAATTTCCTCATGGTTGGCGGGCAGAAAGGCAGCAAGGATGGCTGAATCAGAATAAAGAGGAATGGGAAATAAAGTCTAAGAGGTAGGCACGAGTTAGATTGAGCATGGAAAAGAAGATACAGAGAAGTATGGATGCAGGGTTAGGGATAAGACTGGTGTGGGCATATGACACATCTTCCCAATCAGATCAGCTCTTTACTTTGGCTGCTTGCCTTGTAATTACCATCTTACCACTTTTCATTTGGAAAAACGTTTGCTATTTTTCTAATTTTGTGTTTGTAGGAACCTGTGCTTGCATTAACATGGAAAATCTAACATATCTCCAGTGACTGAAAATGTGTTTACTCTAATAATAGTGTAGGAAAATAGGCACTTACATATACAGTTGGTGGGAATGTAAATTGGTACAGTCTCTTTGGAGGTAATATGACATTGATTAGAATTTAAAGTGTTTACATCCTCTGGTTCAGTAATCCTACTTGTAAGAATTTACTTTCTAACAATAGTAATAGATCCTGTTCTAGACTCAGCATTTTATTTTTTAAAATGTTTTAGGTGGACATAATATCTCTATTTTTATGTGGTGCTGAGGATTGAACCCAGTGCCTCATGCATGCTAGGCAAGTACTCTACCATTGAGCCACAACCCCAGCACACTCTGTGCATTTTATATTAACTCATTTAATACTTACATCAGTCCTATGAAGTTAGAATTATTGCTGTTTTACAAGTGAAACCACACAGCAAATTAAGTGACAATAACATGTATATAGTTTTTTATGTGGAGAAAAAATGAGATGGAAAATAACATCAGATTATGTGTATGTTTGACATTAACCTCTGGAGAGTAGGAGTAGGTGCTCTAAGGAGAAGGGAATAAGGGCTTTAAATCTCTTCTGCACCCACTGTAGTTTTTACTCTGGGAATATATGGCCTTTTGTGGGTTTTTGTTGTTGTTTGCTTTAGTTGCAGTTGGACACAATACCATTATTTTATTTATTTATTTTTATGTGGTGCTGAGGATTGAACCCAGTGCCTTGCACGTGCTAGTGTTATAAAGCTTCGTCCCGGGGTTTCATAAACTGACTTCCAGACCACTCACGTGTAATCGATCGAATCAAGCCTTTATTGAAGCACACCGGTGGCGGCTGACCAGAACATAAAGCTGTTCCCTTGATCAGCCCCGAACAATTGCAAGGGCGCTCCTTATAAACCTGAAAACCGCAAAAGGGATATTCGGGGGTCTAGCCAATGCAAGCAAGCCAAGTTACAGAAGCAGGAGAGTGCAGTCAAGCGGCAGGAAGCCTAACCAATCACAGTTAGCCCAGTCACCCCAGTTACAATAACAGAGCCCCATTACCCTAGTTACAGAAACAATGCCCCATTAGGTAGTTCTGTGTTCTTAAAGGTTTCTATAGCAAAAGGAAAAGAACATCTTACCCCAGTCATGACCCTTCTACTTGGCATGGTGGTTTTACAGGATGAAGTCATAAAACAAAATGGAGTCACATTTGCTTCTACTATCACACTAGGAGAGCACGCTAAAGCTGAGCCACAACTCCAACCCCTATGTATGGCTTTTTTTTTTTTTTTTTTTTGATGGAAGAAATTGTTAAAAGTTTTCAGGGCAGTTCCCCGTGCTGAAATGCTGCGTGGATATTTATCTCTCTGTTTATTTGAAGAAGGCTTTAATTTCTGAGATGTTCACTTATTCACAATTTATTTCCCTTATGTAGGAAACTATGAGAATTATGTTAAATTCAAAATCAGACTCAGGTCTTTTTTGAAACAAGATGGTATATAAGGACATCTGCAAATAGTCTAATTTAAAGAATAAGGTGAGGCAGCTGGCTGAGCAGCAATAGAAAGTGGTTTTTCAAACTTCAAGAAGGAACAGTGCCGATGATGAAAAGAAAAGGCTTGGGCATATTTATTAAGGTTCTTGTGATCGTGTGGTTAGGACTGTTGTTTGTGCATAACAGAAACCCCTGCAGGATCACTTCAGCCGAGGGGAATGTATGCTGAGGATGCATAGTTATCTTAATTATCTCTAAGGGCAGGAAAGCCAGTGAGCTTCAGGATTAGACTGAGTCCCTGAGCTTGGAATGCTATCAAGAACCTTCAAAGTCTTTCATATTTGTCATCCCTGTCATACTCTTCTCCACTGTATTCTTGCTTTTCTGTTTCTACTCCATATAACAGAAAATCAAAATGCCAGTAGCTTCAGAGTTTCATTAGAAAGAGCAAGAAGGCTAGAAGCCACAGTCTGAAATCTGAATGCTGGGGAAGGGGGTGAGTGACACTCACCTGGGGTTGAGTGACAGGGCTGTTATACAAAGATGGCCGTTTTTGCTGAAACCATCTAAAGGGGAGCCTTATGCAGGAAAGAGGTGTGGACTGGTAATTTATTTGGTAGCCATTGCAATAGCTATGCCATAATAGTCCAAGATGCAGGTCTGAGACTTCTATCTAGATAATGAAGAGACACTAGAGAGCATTATTTAAATAATTCTAAGGAATAAAGTAAAGACCTGAATAATGACAATTTGTCATTTGGTTTAGTTTGATCCTGTTTGGAATGCTCCCACCCAGTCTCCTGGGTTTTGCTATTTTTGTAATCTGGCCTACTTCAGAGATTGAGATTTGAAGTGTGCAAGCTAGACTTGATGTCTGTGCCCTGGCAAGTTGACAGTCAAGGGAGCACTTAAGTGTATGCACAGTTAGGATGACAAGGTAAAAGTAGGTCTGTTTTGTCTGCAGAATCCTTCAGCTGAGACCCAAATTCCAAAACCTATAAAACCTGAAGTGCATGTAAATATATTGTATCATCAGAGCTCATGTCAAGGTATGGTTTAAGGTATGATTTAGATACATTTAAAAGCATCAAAGATTTTGTTGTTGGTGTGAAGTAATAGTTTCATTTTTTTATGGGAATATTTCAGTAGAATCTTGTTAGAATCTTGTTAGATTTCGTTGTTTTGCACAGATAGGTCAGGGAGCCCAGCTCCCCACTTGTTCTTCTAGTCCTTTGGACTCACCATATTACTCCTGACTTAGGGCCTTAGTATGTGCTGTTCCCTGTGCTCCCTTTGTTTGTTCTCAGTTCCTGGTTTGTGCCACTTTGTTAGGTGTGCTTTTCTTGACCTTCTCACTCCTGTTTTTCAAGTGGTAGCGCTATGTCCCTTTCTTTAATGGCACAAATAACTGTAATTGTAATTTTGCATTTATTTGTGAGTATCTCCTTAGTGTCTGTATCCCAACTAAACCATAAGCTTCATTGGGAGCAGAATCATTCATGTCTGCTTCCCTAGCCAATTTATCTCAAATGCTTGTTACCTGGTGATATTTAATAAATAAGTAAATGAAGTATAGCCTCAAACCCACTGGCTAAATCAAGCTGTAGGCAGTACCAGGAACTTTTGAAGTGACTTTGTTTTTTACTT